TGTCACCCGGGCTGGAGTGCAGTGGTGAGATCTTGGCTCACTGCAATCTCTGCCTCCCAGGTTCAAGTGATTCTCCTGCCTCAGCCTCCTAAGTAGCTGGAATTACAGGACTGTGCCACCACCCTCGCCTAAGTTTTTTAATTTTTAGTAGAGATGGGGTTTCACCATGTTGGCCAGGCTGGTCTTAAACTCCTGACCTCAGGTGATCGTTCCAACTCAGCCTCCCAAAGTGCTGGGATTACAGGTGTGAGCCACTACCCCCGGTCTGCAAAATAACCACTTTTTCTATATTATAAACTGTAAAGATAAAGGAACAAAGGTAAAAATAACGGACAGAAGAGCCTGCTCTTCTTGCTGTGGCTTGGTAATAATTTTCTGGAAAGAGCCACTGACAAACAAGGTCAAGAAGTTACCTAGAAAAGGGACTGAAAGAGAAGATAAGCAGGCACTGCTAGGCCATCTCCAGGTGAGAAGCATCTGACTGACCAAATCTCTGGCTTGCAAGTCCTTCATTTCTCCTAAATACTCTGGGGTGGTGGGCATGAGTATGTGCACCAAATCCCTGCATCATGCAGTCTATGTGCAGCACCGGTGTGTACAAAGGAACAGAACTGGGCCTTTCCTGCAACAAGCCCTCATCAGCATCCTGCACCGGCTCGCCTCAGAGTTCAACAGGTGTTTAGTTGTAGGGATGGACCCAGCCTTGGTAAAACCACAGCCTGTTAAAGAAAATACAACCAAGGCTGGGAGGCAAGAAAATAAACTAGAGGGACGGGGACATTTTATAACCAGCTGCGAAGGGAGAATGTTTAGGGAGGCCAACAAAAGCAGCACATTTCGATGAGCTTCATTTAATTTATATTTAGCCTTCTCATTCTCAGTAATTGAATGCATTATTTATTTTGGCCAGCAATTGCTGCCTGTGGCTTTTAGGAGAAAAATAATAGGCTTTTAAGGTTTAGCACCACAGCATTTAGAGACTCAAGTAAAAATCATCAGATAAATTATTAAACAAGAAGCGGACTCCACATTCCCACTCTCCAGCAGTAAAGTGACAGGGGAGGCAGATGAGGAGCCCAGAGTCCTGGCACTGAGGGCGCTGTCTTTATCCATGCACAGTGTATGGGGCTGCCCTTATACCGACTGTCTCTCCGTGGGGACAAAGGACGTTATAGGAAGTACAACAGGCAGAAACTACTCACAGCTCTCCTTCAACAGTTCTTGGGAGCACCAAATCTTTGATGAGGGGGATAGCTTTATCCAGGTAGAGAATTTTTGTTTTGTTTTTTTAAAAATCCCATGAAGCCCTATATGGGATCTAATCATAAATTTCCTGAGATCCACAACATTCAAATTCATGGTCCTGGTTTTGTAACAGTGGAAGAAGAAAGACTGAGGCTTCCAAAGCCTCTACTTGCAGTTCTAGTAAGTGATGTCATAGCTTTGGTATCGCAGCTCACAGTTTGTTGCTAATATTGCAGGGAAAAACAACTCAGGGGTGTCTACCTGGGTCCACCGTTCCTGAGCTTTTAAAGAAGGAACCTATTTATAAGCAGGTTTAAAATTTCTAACATCCAAGGAAGTATCTTCTAATTTTCATCCTGTACATCACTAGGGTTTTGGTGATATGTTAATTTTTGGTTTTCACTAACCCTTTGTTCTTTATTATTATTTTTTTAAGTCAGAGTCTTGCTCTGTTTCCCAGGTGGTACGATCTCAGCTCACTGCAACCTCCACCTCCCAGGTTCAAGCGATTGTTGTGCCTTAGCTTCCCAATAACCCATCATTCTCACCAAGGCAAGCACTGGGAAAAGTTCCATGGTGACCTACACACAGCAGACACGCGCCTGTCCTAGTGGGGAGAGGGGGTGTCGCAGATAATAAGCAAGTAAGCAAACACATTAAGAAAGCGTCAGCTTGTGGAATGAGCAATGATGATAATGAGGATGATGCTGTAGAGGTGACAGAGTGGGGCAGGGTTGCTTCTCTAGCTATAGTGGCCAGCAGAGGCCTCTGTAAGGAGCTGTGGCTTGTTCTCACCATCTGCCTTGTAATTAAAAAAAAAAAAAAAAAATACAACTATCTGGGGAAAGATCATTGTAGAGGCCGGGCGCAGTGGCTCAAGCCTGTAATCCTAGCACTTTGGGAGGCCGAGACGGGTGGATCACGAGGTCAAGAGATCGAGACCATCCTGGTCAACATGGTGAAACTCCGTCTCTACTAAAAATACAAAACATTAGCGGGGCATGGTGGCGCGTGCCTGTAATCCCAGCTACTCAGGAGGCTGAGACAGGAGAATTGCCTGAACCCAGGAAGCAGAGGTTGCGATGAGCTGAGATCGCGCCATTGCACTCCAGCCTGGGTAACAAGAGTGAAACTCCGTCTCAAAAAAAAAAAAAAAAAGATTATTGTAGAAAGAGGGAACAAAGCCACAAAGGCTCTGAACTGGGAGACAACTAGTATGTTCAAAGAACAGAAGCGGGCCCGTGTGGCGATGAGGATGGAGGCGGGCAGGCACCAGCTCACAGGGGAACTCAAGAGGCAAGTGTTCAGCTGCACTCAGAAGAGACTGAAGTACCCCAGGAGTTAAAAGCAAAACCAAGCAAGAGTTTTAAAAGGTTCCTGGGCAGCAACCACGCATGAAGACTTCACTGCCAGAGCCGCTCCAGTTGAATTAAGACACAGTGATCTCCAGAACTTCCACAGCAATGGTTCAAAGAATGCAGGAGTGACCACTCACCAGCTGGTCCGGAATGCCCACTCAAGACAATGGCAATAAGCGGTGAGGCGCCACCCTTGGCATAATCTGTGCGGTTGTGTCAGGAAGAGAACTACCACTGCAAACATCAGTTTACCTCCTATGGTGCTATGGTTGAGCCCCAGAATTCATTTAGGCTTCATAGTCAACACAGTGGTCAAGGGGCACGGCCTTAAGCCAGAGAGATCAGGGGCTGAGAGCTGGTTCAGTGACTCCGGAGTGGACCTACCCCAAGCAAGTTAGTTGGCCACTCTCTGCCTCAGTTTACTCACCTGGGTAATGAGGCACCAACCAAAGCAGCAGCCCCATGTGGCTGCTGGGAGGATAAAATGAGATAACGTGTGCAAAGGGTTCGCCACATAACAAATACTCCATTAACGTCACATAAAGATTTCTTTTACCCTCTGTGTTACGGCCTGCAGGGTGGGTACCCTGCTGCCAACCTGCCAGCATGCCCCCGGCATACATCGTTGTGGTAGGTAACCAGGGTGTCCTGCAGCAAACACCTGGGCTTTCCACGTGAGTGCCTTCTCCTGGCTGAAGTGTGAAGCAGGCCAGAATGCCAGCGGTTAATATCCCGGAAGGAGCACTCTGTCCATGACAGATGGGAATAAAGGGAGATCACCTGTCTTCCTTGCCCTTCGGGTGGGGTAACACTGGCTGTATCTGACAGTACTTCCCAGATGGGAAGGAACTTCAGCTGCCCACAGGAGTGACCTGTTCGATGGTGCATGTTTTTTCTGGCTTCCTTTTTTTTTTTTTTTTTGAGACGGAGTTTCACTCTTGTTACCCAGGCTGGAGTACAGTGGCGCGATCTCTGCTCACCTCAACTTCCGGCTCCCAGGTTCAAGTAATTCTCCTGCCTCAGCCTCCTGAGTAGCTGAGACTACAGGCACGTGCCACCATGCCCAGCTAATTTTTGTATTTTAGTAGAGACGGGGTTTCACCATGTTGACCAGGATGGTCTCGATCTCTTGACCTCGTGATTCACCCACCTCAGCCTCCCAAAGTGCTGGGATTACAAGCATGAGCCACCACGCCCGGCCCCTTTCTTTCCCTGTCTCATCTCACATCAGCCTTCTGATATCACTGAGATCACCTTCTCTCAAACAAACGATCCTGAGCATCCCTGCCTAACAGACGGCTTTGGTGCCTAGTATGGAAAGATCAGTCTTGGGCAGAAATTTTATCTGTTAACAGCAAAATGTAGGGTGCTCGTCCTACCACAAATTAGATGGTACTTGTGTGTCTCTGGGGTTTCGAATACACAAACATCAACAACAACAACAAAAGAAAGATGAATCTGCCATTGTGAAGCAGTCCTAATGTCTCACATTCTCCAAGTATGCTGAGTTCAAGATGTCTGAGCTGCATGACCTGGTCTGTCCTAGAGAGATTTAAGAAGGTTCTTACAGGAGGATATCTGTGCTCTATGATCTGAGTGTACAAATGCATATGTGTCCAATATGCTTCCTAACAAGAGAAATAAATTTAAAACTCATCATTTATTGATTTTTTTTTTCTTTCATTAAAGGAATCTCTCTTGGTAGAGAGTAGTGGTTCACACCTGTAACCCCAGCACTTTGGGAGGAAGAGGCAGGAGGATCAGTTGAGCCCAGGAGTTCAAGACAAGCCTGGGCAACAAAGCAAAACTCCATCTCTATAAAAAACAAAAATAAGGCCGAGCACTGTGGCTCATGCCTGTAATCCCAGCACTCTGGGAGGCCGAGGTGGGTGGATCATGAAGTCACGAGTTTGATACCAGCCTGGCCAGCATGCTGAAACCACATCTCTATTAAAAACAAACAAAAAAAACTGGCTGGGCATGGTGGTGTGCACCTGTAATCCCAGCTACTCGGGAGGCTGAGGTAGGAGAACTGCTTGAACCCAAGAGGCAGAAATTGCAGTGTTCCAAGATTGTGCCACTGCACTCCAGCCTGGGCAACAGAACAAGACTCCATCTCAAAAAACAAACACATAAAAAGTATAAATAAAAACAAAAACATTAGCTGTGTGTGGTGGTGTGCATCTGTAGTCCTAGCTACTCAGGAGGATTGTTTGAGCCCAGAAGTTCAAGGTTACAGGGAACTATGATCACAGCACTACACCAGGCCTGGGTGGCAGAGCAAGACTGTCTCTAAAAAAAGAAATCTTTGTCTCTCTCTACATGCATACGCACACACCTGAGTCAGTTTTCCTAAGCAGCAAGTGAATGCCCAAGATGACAGAATGATGGCCTTACCTTGGGAGAGGCACTGGTTGGCCAAGGCCACCTGACCAGAATGCAGGTAGAGATTGAGACGTGTGAAGATGCCCGTCAGGGAGGGGATGGTGATGAAGCAGTAGGCAACACAGGCCTAGGAGAAGGGGAGAAACATCAACGCTGGCAACACCACGGTGGCAGAATCATACTCCTGTTTTCATCCCTCATGTATTTCTAAGTAAAGAAACTTACAATAGTGAATTTCCCCATTCTGAGCCCCAATTTTCCCCTCTTGTACAACTCTGCTCTGTCTGATCACCCTCTGGGAAGACGGGGGTATAAGGGGAGTGAGTGGTAATGCAGTAAAAACAAATCCTCACCCATCATCATAGGAAGTAAATAGGTAGCACCTAACGTTGATAAACTGAGAAATAGCAGTTTAAACCAATTACTTAAAAATAAGGAGGTAATCAGAAGCAGTTGCTAAAGAGTTTGAGGTGGCTGAGGAAAGAAGAGCAAGGTGACACAGGGCAGAGCCAGGATGCTTATTTTTTACTGTCATCTTTTCAGTATGATTTCATGTTTAAAAACACAGACACATACTGCTTTCTTAAAGTTTTGAACAGGGCTGGGTGCAGTGGCTCACACCTGACATCCTAACACTGCAAGGTTGAGGGAGGAGGATCACTTGAGGCCAGGAGTTCGAGACCGGCATGGGCAACCTAGTGAGACTCCCCTCCCCCATCTCTACAAAAAACAAAAACAAAAACAAACTTATCTGGGCATGCATGGTGGTTAGAGTGAACTATGATGGTGCCACTGCACTCCTGCCTGGGTGACAGAGCAAGACTCTGTCTCCAAAATAAATAAATACGTAAATTTTGAGTAGCATCACATCGGATAAAATTTTCAGCTTCAAGAAGCTGAAAATGTTTTTCAAAGCTGAATCAGGCTGGGTACGGTGGCTCACGCCTGTAATCCCAACACTTTGGGAGGCTGAGGCAGGCAGATCACTTGAGGATAGGAGTTTGAAACCAATCTGGCCAACATGGTAAAGCCCATCTCCACCGAAAATACAAAAAAATTAGCTAGGCATGTTGGTGGGCGTCTGTAATCCCAGCTACTTGGGAGGCTGAGGGGGGAGAATTGCTTGAACCCCGGAGGCAGAGGTTACAGTGAGCTGAGATTACACCACTGCACTCCAGCCTGGGTGACAAGAGAAAAACTCCGTCTCCAAAAAAAAAAAAAAAAAAAAAAATGTTGAGCATCATTATCATCTAGAGAAAAAAGCCCTTTCAGTTACAAGCACAATATTATTATACATATTTTTATATTAGAAAACTATTTTCTATTTTATAGTGTTATAAACTGTGTTATATTAGTATTATATTAGAGAAAAGGAAAGCTAGTTCAGCTGGCACAGAAACATGCAGCTCCATCGCTCATTTACCTTCCCCACAACACATATTAAAATTCAGACTCTTTTAACCATTTCTCTTGAAAACATTAAGAAAATGGATCATCCCATAGATACAGGGAAAAATAAAATTAATCTGAAAAATCAATACTAAACCATTCTTATCATGACACACTTTTCTTTTTCCAGGAAGAGTAATTTAGTAATCTGCAAACTAAACAGACCACTGGAGTTCAAAGTCTGACAGTCCTTATCTTGAGAACGTACCCGGACAAACGCAGCCGTCTTTCTGGAATGATTTCCTTTCATTACTTTTCTTGTCTCCATTGCCAACCGGTTTACACTCTGAATTTGTGAATAAAACAGAAATGGTAATGAAGTAATGGCCAATTCAGATGAATGTCTTCCATAGAGATTTGAACACTAACTACAAACAGGTCAATGAGAGCAAGCTTTCTAGGACCAAGACTGGTTAGCACCAAACCCTGAAACACCAAAGGAGTCATCAGGCTTGATCCCATCATGGCTTGAGCAAATATCTACGTTTGTCATGCCTTCCGATCAGCATTATAAATGACCATTTTCTGGCTTAACAAACAGCTGGGATTCACTTTCTCCATTTCCAAAAATCCCACCGCACCAAAGTTTAAGAATTCAGAGATCTTGGGCCTGGTGCCTGTGGCTCACGTCTATAATCCCAGAACTCCGGGAGGCCGAGGTGGGTGGATCGCCTGAGGTCAGGAGTTCAAGACCAGCCTGACCAACATGGTCAAACCCCATCTTTACTAAAAATACAAAAATTAGCAGGAGGCTGAGGCGGGAGAATGGCTTGAACCTGGGATGCAGAGGTTGTAGTAAGCCGAGATCACACCATTGCACTCCAGCCTGAGCAACAGAGCAAGACTCTGCCTCAAAAAAAAAAATTTAGAGATCTTAAGAGACACCTCCAAAGCACACCACTTAGAAAATCAGACCACACCATTCAGCTATACAGTACCAACAATAAGAATAATGATAGTAGCCACATCATCACTTATAGTGTTCCAAGGGCTACACATTTATTGGTTCACGTAAGCTTCATAATCCCAGGGTGGAAACTATTACCTCCCCTGTTTTCCAGATAAAGTTTCCACATTTAGGTCTTAAGTTTAGTTGTGCTAAATAACTTGCTAACTGCCAACAAATACCTACAAAAGTTATTTTCCTTGAATAGACATGAAGTAATGAAAGAGCCTTAGGGGAACAAAAAAAAAAGCATTGTTTCTCTCTCTCTCTCTCTCTCTCTCTCTCTCTCTCTCTATCTATCTATCTATCTATATATATATATACATTTTCTTCAAATGAGGTTGTTAGAGCATAAACACTTAAGCTGTCTGATCCTACCTTTTTTTTTTTTTTTGAGATGCAGTCTCCCTTTCTCACCCAGGCTGGAGTGCAGTGGCATGATTTCTGCTCACTGCAATCTCCACCTCCCAGGTTTAGGCAATCCTCCTGCCTCAGCCTCTCAAGTAGATGGGATAACATGTGCCTGCCATCACACCTGGCTAATTTTTGTATTTTTAATAGAGAAAGGGTTTCACCATGTTGGCCAAGCTGGTCTCGAACTCCTGGCCTCAAATGATCTGCCAGCCTCCGTCTCCCAAAGTGCTGGGATTACAGGTATGAGCCATCATGCCTAGACTGAACCTAACTTCTTAATAAACAGGCTGTTATTAATTCTTCTGGTCTGCAGGCATCACAAAATGTGAGAGAGAGACCATGATCCAAAAAAGTTAGGAACCTCTAGTTAGGTAGAAGGGGCTTTCTCTGGTTAGATTTCTGTAACTAATCAGTGTAAACCACTAAACTCTGTTGCTGGCATGGAGAAATGAGAAAATGGAAATCTCACAGAAAAAGAGATCAATAAAACCAAAGTTGTAAGTTTATTAACCTCTAAGAAATCATCTTTCATATCACAGAGGATAGTAACAAAACAGGGCCAGAAGAATCCCAGATTAAGGCTGGGCACAGTGGCTCATGCCTGTACTCCCAGCATTTGGGAGGCCAAGGCAGGAGGATTACCAGATGCAAGGAATATGAGACCAGCCTGGGTAACATAGTGAGACCCCATCTCTCAAAAAAAATAAAAAAATGAAAACAGCCAGGCATGGTGGCTCAAGCTGATAGTACCAGCTACTTAGGAGCCTGAGGCAGGAGGATTCCTTGAGCCCAGGAGTTCAATGCAACGGCGAACTATGATTGTGCCACTGCACTCTAGCCTGGGTTACAGAGCGAGACCCTGTCTCTAATAAAATAAAATAAAAATAAATGATGGGGATGTAAATGATCAACAAATACTTATTGAGAGAAGAAACTAATGAATGAAAATCCTTACATGAATCAACTGCACAAGAACAGGCTCCAGATTGCAAAACATCGACCTGGACTCAACGTAAAAACTCAGCTGTTGTTCAAAATCACGGCCAAAGGATACCTAGAATCAAGGAGAAAGATGCTGAAGGGGACAGTGGTCTTTTTAGAGGGAACACAAGCGAACATGGTATGACTGAAATATTATTGCCACCTCATCTTTATGACGTGGGCAGTGGACTGGAACATAAGAAGTCAAAGGGCATAAAGCAGGAGCTCAGGGTGTAAACAGAATTTTCCAGGCTCCAAAGGAAACCACTGGAAAGGGAATGATGGGATTTTGTTTGTCAGCTGTGGCCTTTTCACAGAACATAAATGTGGCTATTGGAGGCCATTTGTCAGAAGGTTTGCTATCCTAACAGTTACACCTTTCTGCTTCCTCATGGGGACCCAACCTCGGCAGCTCACTGGTGGCTATAGAGGCCATAGATGGAAGTCTGTCCACCATTAAACACCCCCTCTTCTCCTATTTCTTCAGATTTATGAAGAGCTCATTAATAAGAAAAACTTTACTGCTATGTCAATTACTTTTGTCCAGATGAGATTTAATGTCGCCATTTCCATTACAGCTATAATGTTTCATATCTAATTCCCTTACATTCTTTTCCGTAACTCGGTAACTTTTAGACAATGTCATAAAAAGATAAATATCACATGATGAGTACATAAAGCAAGGGCCAAGGAAAGTGACCTGGGGAAATCCATAGGTCTGTTTCCTAAAGCAGGAATTGAAAGGCTAATCCTGAATTTTCATCAAAATTGATATTTCACCCACAGAGTCAAGTGGACTAATCACCCGTATTATTTAACAAGTCAGAATTTCAAGGTTATTTTCAAAGTGATCTTGTCAGTTTCATCTCGGTCAGCTTTGGTCCTGACTTTTCTATTAAAATAGGAGATACTGGCAGCAGTTGGCATTTTGGCTTACAGCACCCAGAATTAAGGCAAAGATTTTTTCAGGCTGGGACAGTATCATGGTAGAATGTTCCCAGAGGAATCCCTCCCACTCTGCTTGCCCTTCTGCAACGTCTCTGTGGGCCAACCCCATCAAGAGCCTCTTCCCCTCTAGACTGGCCCTGTGACTTGCTTTGACCGACAGATTGCAGTAGAATGGGGCAGGAGGTTACTCTATGATTTCTCTTTTTATTTTTTTTCTTTTTTCAAGACAGAATTTTGCTCTTGTTGCCCAGGCTGGAGTGCAGTGACATGGTCTTGGCACACTGCAACCTCTGCCTCCCCATGTTCGAGCTGTTCTTCTGCCTCAGCCTCCTGAGTAGCTGGGATTACAGGTGTGCACCACCATGCCTGGCTAATTTTGTATTTTTAGTAGAGACGGGGTTTTGCCATGATGGTCAGGCTGGTCCTGACCTCCTGATCTCAGGTGATCCCCCCGCCTTAGCCTCTCAAAGTGCTAGGATTACAGGCTTGAACCACCGCACCCAGCCTCACTGTGTGATTTCTAAGCCTTGGCCTTAAAATGTCTGGCTGCTTCTGTCTGTGCCTTCAAAGAAGCCAGCACCAAGTAAGCCCCAGCCCATGCCCAGCACCAAAGCCCTGAGGAAAAGAACAAGGCCACTGTGGATCCTCCAGCCCAACTGAGCCACACCACACTGCTTGCGGCAACCTGGTTACCAAACTGATCCGCAGAGTTTAAGAACAAATAAAAAACTCATGCTGCGCGCAGTGGCTCAGACATGTAATCCCAGCACTTTGGGAGGCTGAGGTTGGAGGACTGCTTGAAGCCAGGAGTTGGAAACAAGCCTGGGCAATATAGCGAGACCTCCGTCTCAATGTCCTCAAAAAAACCCAACCAAAAAAAGCCCTGTTAAAGCCACTAAGTTTTGGGATGAGCTGTTACTCAGCCACGGATAAGTAAAGCAGATGGGGAGTAGATATTTGGAGTTCTGCCTGCCTGGCATAGCTTCCATCCCCATCTGATGATGCATCAGCCGCTTCAGGGCACCCTTTCTCTCCACTCTCGGTCCTCCCAACTCAGGTAACCCAGGTGTGCTTGGGGCTTCAATCCAAGTTAATCCAAAGAGACTGGATCCCAGGACTTTGCTGGAGCCCCTCCTGCTGGGCTGCAGAGCTGCAGGGAATGAAAACCTGGAGCTGGGGTGGGGTGAACCCATCAGAGCCGGAAGTCAGCAAGGCAGACAGAGCCCAGGGCTAAAGATGGACAGGGAAAGGCAGGTCCTGATGACATCGAGGACACCCCAAGCCCGGGTGCTCCTTCCGTAGAGTTCCATGCCCCTGGATTTTTTGTTACATGAGCCAAGAAATCCCTCCTCCCATCCCCCCCACCCCACCCCGCCCACCTTTTTCCTCTTGAGTCAGTTTGTCTTGGCTGTCTTTGCCCCCAGGGGAGTCCTGGCTAATTAGTAAGATGTTTTCTGATTTCATCTTATCTCACTAAGAATGAAAAGCACCAGAGAACATAATGTTGACTGCTTTCGCCAGAATAAGGATAAACAATTACATCACACTTCCAAGTGCACCGAAACTTCTACCCTAATACTTACCATTTTTATAAATCCATTAATCAAGTATGACAGCATTCTTTTCTCATCCTCAAGAGTGAGTGCACTAAAATCAATAATTGTACATAATTAACACTGAGGTAATAGATCAAAGTTTCTAAAGAAAAAAAATACACAATGGGTAAGTAATTTAACAGGTAAGAATATTTTGCATTTTATAGATTTAAAAAACTCCCAACAGGCTGTTTATTTTTCCTTTGATAAAAATACATAATCATGATTAACACAATTTAAATGTGTTTCTCATCTCCCTCAAAGATGCTGTTCTCAAGATATATTTATTAAAAAGAAAAGAAAAGGTAACTTTCCCTTCCTTGGAACTTGGGCAACAAGGTCTAACGTCAAATTTTGTATTGCAGGGAAATTAACTTAATATTTTATGACAAAAAATTTCCAGCGGGATGTGCTGGTTCACACCTGAAATCTCAGCACTTAGGAAGGCAGAGGTAGCAGGTTTGTTTGAGCCTAGGAGTTGGGGACCAGCCTGGGCAACACGATGAGACCCTGTTCTCCCCCAAAAGGAAACAGAGACAGTATTTCCAATGTACAGCAAAGTTGAACGAATTTTCCAGTAAACACTCATACACCCACCATCGAGATCCTGCCATCACCACTTTACTTGCTTTACCACATAATTATCCATTTCCCTCTCCATCCATCAACCCGTCTTATTTTTTTGATACATCATAAAGTAAATCTCAGGTCTCAGTTGCTTCTATTTAATAGGAAATTTAACACAAATATAAATTTAAAAAGTCAAATCATTATAGTTTTGATTATACTTGTGAAGGCCTATCAATAGTTTCCCAAATTTATTTTTAAAAAATGTTAAGGGCTCAGAGAAAACAGAATCAAGGTTTTTGCTTGTTCTTGGGGAAAATGTTTTAGTAAAGATTGGCCACTGTCCTCCAATAGGGGCCCACTTTGTTCTTTTTTTGTTTGTGTGGTTTTGTTTTTTGTTTTTCTTTTGTTTTGAGATGGAATTTCGCTCTTGTTGCCCAGGCTAGAGTTGAACGGCGTAATCTTGGCTCACTGCAACCTCCACCTCCCAGGTTCAAGCAATTCTCCTTCCTCAGTCTCCCAAGTAGCTGGGATTACAGGCATGTGCCACTATGCCCAGCTAATTTTTTTTTTTAAAGTAGAGATGGAGTTTCACCATGTTAGGCTGATCTCTAACTCCTGACCTCAGGTGATTCACCTGTCTTGTCCTCCTAAAGTGCTGGGATTACAGGCATGAGACAGTGCACCTGGCCCCACTTTGTTCGTAGAACAACATTCCCCAGCCTCCTTCCCAGCTAGGGAGGGCTATGGGACCATTCCGAACAATGAGATGTGAACACAAGTGATGTGTGAGCCTTCCCAGCTTTGTCCCTAAGAAAAAGCTGCCGTTCCCCAATGCCCACAGGCTGAAACATGAACATGGTCGAGATAGATCAGCTTCCAGGAAGAAGACAAGGACAATACCCCAAATAGATTGGCAGAACAATAAGACAGAAATAACCTGGGTCCCTGGATGATGTTTGAAAGAACAGCTGCCCAACCCCTACCTTCTGTTCTGTCTACTATGCATAATTTTAAGAAAGAAATCAACCTTCTATTTTACTTAGGCCAAAACCCAATATCTCATGAATCTAAGTGCCTTTCTGGATGCCTTTTGTGTCTTTATTTCTATTTATGTCCAACTAAAGTCTACAGGTTCCACTTCTATAAATGTCTGGACACTTTTGATTTTCATAACTACCCATGAATTTGAAAGCACAAAGAATCATAAAAGTAAAGATTCTAAAATGCAGAGAAAAGAAAGAAGAAATATAATTCATCTTGTTGATGGTTAAGTTCTAAAACAATTTTTCTCCATTCTTGTAACAATTTTCCAGTAAATCAAGCTGCCATGTTTAAAAATTCTTTGGGGACTAAAATTTTGGCCACAAATAAGCAGAAATTACCCTAAGCACAGTCAAATGAAAACATATTTAAAAAATAAAGAAAAACCAGAAAGCAAAGCAGTGATTATTCAGTCTTTTACTGAAAGGTAACGCCTATGGCTAGGTCTCAGCCTCAAGTATACTGAGGAAATAAAGTCAGTTTCATTTGAATTTCAAATAATTGGCTAATAAAGAGATAAAACTAAAGCTATGTTACTGGATGAGTGAGCTCATTATTATACTATCTGCTGTTTTCAGAAATCTCCAAGAGACATGGAGTTTGAGTTCACTGAATGAAACCAGCTTTTTACCCATAACAGAAATTTCTTTTTTTTTTTTTTTTTTTTTTTTTGAGACGGAGTTTTGCTCTCGTTACCCAGGCTGGAGTGCAATGGCGAGATCTCGGCTCACCGCAACCTCCGCCTCCTGGGTTCAAGCAATTCTCCTGCCTCAGCCTCCTGAGTAGCTAGGATTACAGGCACGTGCCACCATGCCCAGCTAATTTTTTGTATTTTTAGTAGAGACGGGGTTTCACCATGTTGACCAGGATGGTCTCGATCTGTCGACCTCGTGATCCACTCGCCTCGGCCTCCCAAAGTGCTGGGATTACAGGCTTGAGCCACCGCGCCCGGTCCCAGAAATTTCTTTCTAACAACATCTGCCACATTGCTTTCTCAGGAAGGTTATCCTCAGCCTTCTTCCTCTCCTGGACTGGAATGTCCTCATTAGCAAGAATCTTAATATACCCAATAAAGTAGTATTATTCACAGTGCCAGCTTAAAACAGTCATTCCCTAATGTTCTATTAGGTGGCATTAAGACCCAATCCATGTTACATTTCAGCTCTAAGTATGACTTACTTCACAGAGTCATGCATGGTCTTGCAAACATGCAAAAGGGCATTCAAAATGACTGGGTCCTTGGTGGGCTCTTGCTGATGCCTAGGAGACATTTAAAGATAAAAGTCAAAGCTATTTCCTGGATTCAGTTCTCATCCACTATACACAGTTGAAAAGCAGTAAATTATCCAGCTGGCATTTCGCCCAGCCTGGTTTACCAGTAATCAGCCATGTTCTGGTTGTCTCAGAATTTTCTTAACTTTTGAGACAGAGTCTCGCTCTGTTGCCCCGGCTGAAGTGCACTGGTGTGACCTCAGCTCACTGCAGCCTCTGCCTCCTGGGTTCAGGTGATCTCCTGCCTCAGCCTCCTGAGTAGCTGGGACTAAAGGAGTCCAGCTAATTTTCATATTTTTTGTAGACACAGGGTTTCACCATGTTGGGCAGACTGGTCTTGAACTCCTGGCCTCCGGTGACCTGCCGCCTAAGCCTCTCAAAGTGCTGGGATTACAGGAATGAGCCACTGCGCCTGGCCCAGAATTCTTTAAATAACAAGTTCGCTCTTCCATACACACGATAACTTCTCTTATCTGCAAAATCATGGGAAAACTGTTCCCTTTCCTAAACCAGGCAGGCTAAGGGCAAACCTAGTTTGTTTGTTTTACTAGGCTTCTCGTACCTTCTGAAGCTGCTCACAACCTGTCTGTCACTGTTTTCTTAATAGGTACGTTTTGCCAGGCAAAAGTATTCATTTGGTTTTTCAAATAATGTAAGAGGACAAACTCCTATAACAAATCTTTAGTTAAGTAAATTAGGTATTTTTATTCTGAGCATATTAATTAGGAATTAATATTAATCCTTAGGAAGAAATTAATCTTTTAGAAAGATGACAAGAAAAGCTTAAAACATTTGAGCAATATCAAACTCAATTTTCCACAATGAACTATATCTATGTATTTAATAAAGTAACTTTAGCTTTTTTTTAACTTAACCTTGTCCTAAAAAATAATATACATCAAATTACATTAAATAGTTATACACTGCCTAATACATTTAAAATCAATATATAACTTTAAAAATAAAAACAGGCCAGGTGCAGTGGCTCATGCCTATAATCCCAGCACTTTTGGGAGGCCACAGGGGCAGATCACCTGAGGTCAGGAGTTTGAGACCAGCCTGGCCACCACAGTAAAACCCCGTCTCTACTGAAAATACAAAAAAAATGAGCAGGGTGTGGAGGTGGACACCTGTAATCCCAACTACTCAGGAGGCTGAGGCAGGAGAATTGCTTGAACCTGGGAGGCAGAGGTTGCAGTAAGCTGAGATCACACCACTGCATTCCAGCCTTGGTGACAGAGCAGAACTCTGCCCCAAAAATAAAAATAAAAATAAAAATAAAAATAAAAATAAATAAAAATAAAACCCTAGCTAGGTGAGGTGGCTCATACCTATAATCCCAGCACTTTGCGAGGCTGAGGTGGGTGGATGGCTTGAGCCCAAGAGATCAAGACCAGCCTGGGCAACAAAGAGAGACTCAGTCTCTACAAAAAAATACAAAAATCAGCTGGGTTGTGGTGGCACATATCTGTAGTCCCAGCTACCTGGGAGGCTGAGGCGGGAGGATCATATGAGTGTGAGGAGGTTGAGGCTGCAGTGAACCGTAATTGTGCCACTGCACTCCAGCCTGGATGACAGAGTGGGACCCTGTCGCAAAACAAAAACAAAAAAACACATTTTTTCCATGTACCACCTTAAAATTTTTTCATGTAGCACTAGCAGTAGAGCAGTTCTGGGAAACACAAGCTTAATCCGAAAAATAAAAGGAATTTAATTTTTTGTTGTTGTTGTTGTTAAAGAGCTAAATTGGAAAACTGATCACAAATTAGCCGCATAACTAAACAATGAAGAAGCAAACCTTTCTAGCACCAGTGCCGGCCTAAGTGTGTATGCCCTGATTTTTATCCTTAAAAATGTTACTCTCAAGGGAACTTATCAAAAGACTGCTCCTTCTAAAAACCTTATCAAAGTAAAATGGAGCTGCTGGCCAGGCTCAGAACACTTGCTAGTCTGTCTTCTTAAACAGGAATTACAAACTTTTATCATGACTCCTGCTTTTAATGTGGCTTTCCTTCCAGTGTGGTTTTCTGTATGAAATATGTACACGTCATTATGCTTCAAGGTGCAAGAATTGATTTTATCAACAGGTTTCATTCACAAGGGCACTGAGAATCAAGGCTTCCGCGCACAGCGTTGCACTCACTTGATAAAGGCTTCCATGATACATTTGCAAACCTCCACCCGCACGCTTTCTTTTTGGAACATGTCCAGAAACGGCAGAAATTTTTCCTATAAATAAAACAAGCACTATATATGCAAATGGCACACGTTGTTGGAAGGAAGGAATGTGTGGGCTCTTTTTCTGTGGAGATCAGAAAGAAAGCAGAACAGAGGTTCACTCTCTGAGTTGGGTCAGAGGAGGACTACTCCGGTATCAGGGAGAAGACCTGACTGGGCTTTGAAAAGGCTGTTACGGGGCTGGGCACAGTGGCTCACACCTATAATCCCAGCACTTTCGGAGGCCAAGGAGGGTGGATCACTTGAGGCCAGGAGTTTGAGACCAGCCTGGCCAATATGGATGGTGAAACCCCGTCTCTACTAAAAATACAAAAATCAGCCAGGCGTGATGGTGCATGCCTGTAGTCCCAGCTACTTGGGAGGCTGAGGCAGGAGAATTGCTTGAACTTAGGAGGTGGAGGTTGCAGTGAACCAAGATTGCTCCGCTGCACTGCAGCCTGGGCAACAGAGCAAGATTCTGTTTCAAAAATAAATAAACAAAGAAATAAAATAAAAAGCTGTTACTATTGAAACAACAAATACACGTTCCAGGGATTGGTACTGGGTTCAGTACACACTTTGGTGAGCCATCCAGGCAACCTTTGACAACCATAAGCTTTTCTGGGCAGCAAAATGCAAGGCAGACTTCAGTCTTTTATGATTATATTGATGAGCAATGGAAGAAGAACCAGAGTAGAGATGTTCAGAGATGGCCTCCAAATTGGACTGCCTGGCTGACTCCCAACCTCGGTGACTGTGTGGCTGTAAGCAAGTTACTCTACCTCTTCCTGCATCAGTTTTCTTATCTGTAAAGTGGGAATATAATACTTGCTCCCTATTTGCAATTTTGTTTTCCATAGTTTCAGTTACCCCGGGGTTAATGGCCATCTGAAAATACTCAATAGAAAATTCTAGAAATAAGCAATTCATTCATTTGATTTTTATTGTATTTTATTTGTTTGAGACAGAGTCTCGCTCTGTTGCCCAGGCTCAAGTGCACTGGTGTGATCTCAGCTCACTGCAACCTCTATCTCTGCCAAGAGATTCTCCTGCTTCAGCCTCCCCCAGGTAGCTGGGACTATAGGCATGCACCACCACCCCTGGCTAATTTTTTTTATTTTTAGTAGAGATGGGGTTTGACCACATTGGCCAGGCTGGTCTGGAACTGGTGGTTTCAGGTGATCTACCTGCCTCTGATAGTGCTGGGATTATAGGCATGAGCCACCATGCCCAAGCCTCATTCATTTTAAATTGTATGTTGCTCAGAGTAATGTGATGAAATCTTCTGTTATACTGCTCTGTCTTGCCTAGGTTGTGGGTCATCCCACGTGTAGATGCTATCTGCTTGTTAGTCACTTAGTAGCTGTCTTGGTCATTAGATTGACTCAGGGTATCGCAGTGCTTTTTGTTCAAAGAACATTTATTTTACTTAATAATGGCCCTAAAGTGCAAGAGTAGAATAGGTATGTATTTATAGGATAAAACATAGTATGCATAGGACTCAGTACTATCTGCGGTTTCAAGCATCTCCTGGTGATCTTGGAACATATCCCCCTTGGATAAGAAGGCACTACTACAGTAGTAACTCCTACTTCCCTGTGATGGTATGAAACTGATGAGAGGCAATGCACGTAAAGTCCCAGCACAGTGCTTGGAGTGTAGTATATGTCCAGTAAATATTAGCTGCTATGATTAAAATAAAAAAATCTTACAATCTGTGAGCATACGTAAATGGAACCTGGGAGAGGGAAGCGAAGGAAGAGACAGAGAATGTTATTAGACAGAGAATAACCTGCATTCCTACTTGCCCAGGGCACTGAGCACACTCAAACACACATTGCAGGATATTTTAAATTTTTTAGGGAATCCTGGTAAATCTCAATTGTCAGACACTGAAACAACTACTAGCTTAATGCATTTCATAGTTTCAACATTAGGCTGTGTGATGATAAAGCAAGTGCCTTGGGAAAATCACTGTGGAAGAGCAAAGGAAGAAGAGGCTGCCCAAAGTGTGTGGAAGGTTGGAGAAGGTGGGTAATGCCCCACAGAGCACATATCCCATTAGTAAGTAAGGAATGAAACAGAAATAATATTTTTCTTTCAGCTTTAGTGTATTATGTTTTCAAATACTGCTTAAGTTGTTAGGACATAAATACTTAAGTTGATCAGACCAAACTACTTTATAAAAGGAACTGCTGAATATTTCTTTTGGCCTTGGGCATCATGAAAACATTACTGAGACAATGAGAACCTCTGAGCCAGGTACAAATTTCCAAAGATAAATAAGAAATGCTACTTACCACTGAGAAAAGAACTGAGAAGTCATGGAAGTAGGCAATAACTTTCTTAATTATTAACTGAAGCTGTAAAACAAATAAAAATCTTACTTTTAAAACCTCAATTTTTAAAAATTTATTTCTGGTTCACAATCTCTCCTGAAAACCTTAATTTTTTTGTTTTTAATTACAACTACAATAAGGTAAGTCTGAATTGTTCGACGACAAATGGTGAACTGGGCTTAGGGTAGATTCTGTCTCAGTCTAAGTTTGCCCAATGACTCTGAACATCCTACTTTGTAGTCCTGGGAAAGTAACTGAGTCTCATTCTCAGTTTCCTCACAGCTTCCTCATCTGTGAACTGGAGGTGAAAGCAGTAGGGACTCAATGGAATGATTTGAGGAAAGTGCTGAGTGTAGTGCCCACCCTATTGTTACTCCTTGAATAGTGGGCAAACTTTTTCTATAAACGTCCTACAGTCCACCACAATTACTCAACACTATTTTAGTGCAAAGGCAGCCATTGCCAACATTAAGTGAATGTGCATTAAAGGAATCCATGCCAATAAAACTTTATTCACAAGAACAAGTGGCAAGCTATATATAGCCTATGAGCTGTAGTTGGCCAATCCCTATTCTAGCTCATCTATCATGGCCCTGTGTGTCTTGATTACTTCATTGGAGAGGATCTGGACAGAGTTCGCTGGTAGAGTCAAAGGCCAAGGTATTACCCAGGGATGGCGGTACAGTCTATAAGGTCTGCCTCGAAAATGCCCAGATACTGACAGTTACCGCCCCGACCCTGAGATGCACACTCCAGACTAAAAAGTCCAGGAGAACCAAGGATGATGTTTCTAAATAAAATAGAACTCCCTATTCCCGGTTGCTATCAAGAAAATTTACTGACAATTTGTTTACACTAAAAAAAACCCTGCTGTTTCAATAATTTACAAAGAAAATCTCTCATGTTCTAAAAACAGAACATGAAGAACATTATGTGCCCATTTCATAATTAGGCAGCTTACTAGGTCAGTCAAGCAAAACACTAAGAAAGGACTTCAAAACTTCATCATGAACAATGCTCCAAGGCAATGCTGTCTGGTTAAACTAGTTTCTGAAGCACAGAAACTATTTTATGCTCCTAAGTTCAAGCAATTCTCCTGCCTCAGCCTCCTAAATTCTTACCTAAAGGAAGACAATTCTTGTCTTTACTGTGATAGCTGCAAAATGGTGATTTTCCCATTCTACCATTTCTTTCACATTTCTCAATCTGCTCATCTATTTATCTATTCATCATAAGGATGGACTCTTGGATTCCTATTTTACTCAATGGGCTATAATCCATTACTGTCCTAATTTCATTTGATACTCAAATTGGGAGCAGTGAGAGCCCCTTCAAGATGCTCTTTTTTTTTCTTTTGAGATGGAGTCTGGCTCTGTCGCCCAGGCTGGAGTGCAGTGGCGCAATCTCAGCTGACTGCAACCTCCACCTCCTGGGTTCGAGTGATTCTCCTGCCTCAACCTCCTGAGTAGCTGAGATTACAGGTGTGAGCCACCACGCCCGGCCTCAAGCTATTCTTATACCCTTTTCACATGTTCCCATTAGTGAGTTTTTTTTTTTTTTGAGACCGTGTCTCTCTCTCTCACCCATGTTGGAGTGCTCACTGCAACCTTGGCCCCCAAGGCTCAAGTGATCCTCCCACTGTACCATCCCAGGTAGATGGGACTATCAGTATATACCACCACACCAGCTAATTTTTATATTTTTTGTAGAGATGGAGTTTCACCATATTGCCCACACTGGTCTTGAACTACTGGCCTCAAGTGATCTGCCCTCCTTGGGTCTCCCAAAGTGCTGGGATTAAGGTATGAGTCACCATACCTGACCTCACTGAACTCTTCAGAAGCAAAATGTGACATGGTGTATACAACTTATTAACAAATAGTGAAAAAAATGTACACACATACATGTATATATGTGGACATGGGTGAACGATAAAACGTGGTAAAATACTGATAGTGAATTTTGGTAAAGAATAATGGGAAATCTTTGAGCTTTAAATTTTCCAATAATCTTAAATTTATTTCCACATAAGCAGCTGATTTATGGCCAAGCATGGTGGCTCACACCGGTAATCCCAGCACTTGGGAAGGCCAAGGTGAGCAGATTGCTTGGGCCCAGGAGTTTGAGACCAGCCTCGGCCACATGGGAAGACCCCATCTCTATAAAAATACCAAAAAAAAAATTAGCTGGGCATGGTGGCACATACCTGTAGTCCCAGTTACTCGGGAGGCTGAGATGGGTGGATCACTTAAGCACAGGAGGTTGAGGCTGTGCTAAGAGGTGATCACACCACTGCACTCCAGCCTGGGTGACTGAGCGAGACCCTGTCTCAAAAAAGGAAAAAAAAAAAGTTGATTTAACTAAAAATACAATTTATTTGCTGGTGACAACAATCATGACAATGCTTAATTAGCATTTATCACGTGCCAGGCCACTGTGTGAGGGCTTCACTTCATCCTCGTAGTAACTTTCAGGGTAGCACTATTACTATCCCATTTCACAGGTGAGAAAACTGGGCACAACAAGGTTCAGTAGCTGGTCAAAGGCCACACAGTATATGGCAGAGCTAGGATTCAAATACAGGATTACCTGCCTTTACAGCCTAACCCATGCAACATGCCTATTTATTTATTTATTTTGAGACAGAGTCTTGCTCTGTCACCCAGGCTAGAGTGCAGTGGCGCAATCTCAGCTAGCCATAACCTCCATCTCCCGGGTTCCAGCAATTCTCCTGCCTCAGCCTCCTGAGAAGCTGGGACTACAGGCACGTGCTAGCACTCCTGGTTAATTTTTTGTATTTTTAGTAGAGACGGGGTTTCACCATGTTAGCCAGGATGGTCTCGATCTCCTGACATCATGAGCCTCCCCCGTGGCCTCCCAAAGTGCTGGGATTACAGGCGTGAGCCACTGCTCCTGGCCTGTGCCTATTTAATTCAACAGAACAAAATTCCTAAGAATGTTGAAATGAGAAATGCAAATGTTACCTGGGGGTAGGAATCTTCAAATGCACGATCTGGAGTCATGTGCTTGATGACATCTGCCAAAACGGTATTCACCTCTCGTTTCTAAGAGAGGAAAAGGAACCAAACCTGTATTAGACACTGAATGGCAATCGCTGATGTCCCTGGGGGAAAAGGACTAATAATATTCAGAATACATCACACATCTTCCAGGAAATCGTAACTATTCTGCTGAAAATAACAAAAGGGAGGAAATCCCACTCATATCACCTGGTCCAGTACCACAGCCCCACACCAAGTCAGGACTAAATGCTGTTCTCAAAGGTTCTGGGGCTTTACATGGCCCCTGCTTTCCCTGAGTGGTGGTCAAACCGACCACCCCTCTTTCTGCTGCCTGTCCTCAGGTGCCTGCAAAGGGAACAGCGAAGCACTGTGGGAAGAGCACAGGCTCCCCCTTACAAGCTGTCTGACCTACCTGCTCACTGTTCACTTTTGTCACCTATAGCAAGAGTCAGCTAACTGCAGCCCAATACAGCCCAGTGCCTGTTTTATTAAGGCCCACAAGCTAAGAATGGCTTTTAAGTCTCTATAATTAACTGCTGATTTACAGGAAATACTAAAGGCAGAAGAGCACATTAGACACCATCACAAGGATGCAATGGGAAAAAATCCAGTCTTTGCAACTCTACAGGACAAAAAACCCAATTTCTTCAACAAATAAATTATAGGGAAAGAAAGGGGCAGGAGAGGAGGAGACAGATTGAGAGAGAATTTACACATTAGAAGTATCCTAAAATGCCTATTGCAATTTAGAAGCCTTATTTTCAACCGGATTTCAACAAATAAACTTTAAAAAAATGAGACAATTGGGGAAATCAGAATATTGACTGGCATTTATGATATTAAATGATCAGCAACTCGGCTGGGCTTGGTGGCTCATGCCTGTAATCCCAGCATTTTGGGAGGCCAAGGTGGGCAGATTGCTTGAGGTTAGGAGTTCAAGACCAGCCTGGCCAACATGGGGAAATCCTATCTGTACCCAAAATAATTAAAATTAGCTGGGCATGGTGACACGCGCTTTTAGTCCCAGCTAATCAGGAGGCTGAGGCAGGAGAATTGCTTGAACCCAGGAGGCAAAGGTGGCAGTGAGCTGAGGTCATGCCATAGGACTCCAGCCTGGGTGACACAGCAAGACTCTGTCTCAAGAAAGAAAAAAAAATTAGTAATGAACAAATTTCCACCATAAGAGCAGAAAAAAAAAATTCGTGACTTTTTTCCTTAGAATAATGTATTTAGATTTGGTTTAAGGAAGGGACCCTCCAACCTGGGCAATATAGCGAGACCTCATCTTTACAAGTAAAACAAAATTTAGCCAGGTGTGCTGGCATGTGCCTGTGGTCCCAGCTACTTGGGAAGCTGGGGCAGGAGGATCACCCGAGCCCAGGAGGTCACAGTAAGTCACGATCGTACCACTGCACTCCAGTCTGGGCAACAGAGTGAGATCCTGCCTGTCAATCAATCAATGGAATCCTCATATTTTTACAGATGTGCTGAAATATTGACAGATGATATGATACTATGTCTGAGATATGCTTCAAAATATTCCAGGGGTTGGGAAACATAGTTATGATATAAATCAAACAAGATTTGTTTTAAGTTGATAATTCCTGATTGATGGGTACAAAGGAGCGAATATGTTTTAAATTTCCACAATAAAGTGTAAAATAAAAATAGGACAAAACCAAAAATCAATGGATCAACATTTACCTAATGCTCACAAATCAGACAAAACCAATTTTGGTGTTAGAGGCCAGGATGGTGTCTACCTTCACTTCCCCAAGGGCTGAGTTGTGACGGGAAGGGGCAGTTCTCGGGGGGCTCTGTGAGGTCAGTTATTTCTTATTTCTTACTCTGGATGGTGATTACATGGTCGTATCTTGTGAAAATTCATTTAGCAGCAAACATATGATACATGCACTTTTTAGCATGTGTGCTTGGCTCAGTCTGTTTGGGCTTCCACCAAAATACCATAAACCACGAATCTTATAAACAACAGAAATTTAATTCTCACAGTTCTGGAGGCTGGGAAATCCAAGATCAAGGTAGATTTGGTGTCTGGTGAGGAACCATAAATGGCATCTTTTCCTCATAAATGGCATCTTCTCCCCATGTCGTCATGGGGTAGAAGGGGTCAGTAAGCTCCGCTGGGCATCTTTTATTGTTATTTATTATTATTATTATTAGACAGTTTCGCTCTGTTGCCCAGGCTGGAGTGTAGCAGCGCGATCTTGGCTCACTGCAGCCTCTGCCTTCCACATTGAAACGATTCTCCTGCCTCTACCTCCTGGGTAGCTAGGACTATAGCCATGTATCACCACACCTGGCTAATTTTTTTTTTTTTCCCTGTATTTTTAGTAGAGATAGAGTTTCACCATGTTGGCCAGGCTGGTGGACTTCTTTTATTATAAGGGCATTAATCCCATTCATAAGGACTCTGCCCTCATGACCTAATCTCCTCCCAAAGGCTCCACCTTCTAATACCATCATCTTGAGGGCTAGGATTTCAACACATGAATTTTGGGAGGACACAGACATTCATACCACAGCAATGCTATACTTCAATTTTTAGGACTTGATTAAAATAAACAAATTACTCTAGCAATGGGTTTTGAACCTAATTCTATCTGCTTCTAAAGTCTCCACTCTTTGACACGCCCAGTATTCCTCTAACTGGTTCCAGTCTATGTCTAAGGAAAGAAACATTTGCTTAGGAAAAAACTTACACATCAGTCAAACTGTGTGGGAAACACTGCCTACTAGACTTCAATGTATAGTTGCAATGAATTTTAGCATATAAGCATCTAAGGCAGGTGTCCCCAAACTACGGCCCGCGGGCCACATGCGGCCCCCTGAGGCCATTTATCCGGCCCCCCACTGCACTTCAGGAAGGGGCACCTCTTTCATCGGTGGTCAGTGAGAGGAGCACAGTATGTGGCGGCCCTCCAACGGTCTGAGGGACAGTGAACTGGCCCCCTGTGTAAAAAGTTTGGGGACGCCTGATCTAAGGTATCTTACGGTTAAAAAAATATTACATAAGTTTAACTTTATGTAGTGCTACATTTTCCAGACTTAAATGTAAGCATGGAACAGTTATTTTTTGTTATAGTATACATATTAGTGCTCCATCACACTTTATTATAATGTAATTTTTATAAATTATAAGAGCAATTACCATTGTACAATGCCTCAATGCCTGAACTAGACTAATTCACCATTATAAACATGAAAAAATATAATTCTTTCAAAAACAATACCACAGTCCCACATACCGTGAAATGCTTGCAGGTGTATTCTACCCACACTTCCGCACAATTAATGTAGTCCTACAAAGAAAAAAGGAAAACATCTTAATGTTAAGTACAACATAGTTTGCCTTACAGCAAACAGAGGAGGCCTCAGCTGGCTCCATTCAATGGTCAGAAACTGGAATTTCCTTTTGCTAATTACTGGCTTAAAGGCGGATCTTTAATTTAGGAATTTCCTACTAACCATATTTTCAAACCTAAACCTTACCAACTGTTACATTTTGGTTGCCCACTATAAAGTTAAGTGACCTTTTATAGTTTCAAATATCTGTAACTGTATGCATTTTTTAAAGTTTTTTAAATTAATTAATTAATTAATTTAGAGACCAAGTCTTGCTCTGTCACCAGGCTAGAGTGCAGTGGCACAATCTTGGCTCACTGTAACCTCCACCTCCTGGGTTCAAGTGATCCTCCTGCCTGAGCCTCCTAAGTAGCTGGGACTACAGGTGCGTGCCACCACACCCAGCTAAGTTTTTGTATTTTTAGTAGAGATGGGGTCTCACCATGTTAGCCAGGATGGTCTTGATCTCCTGACCTCATGATCCACCTGGTTCAACCTCCCAAAGTGGTGGGATTACAGGCATGAGCCACCGCACCCAGCTGGAGCCACCATGCCCAACCAGAAATTATATTTTTAAAGTTATTTGTTCTCCATTACAGATAGACAAATAATGTAAGAAATAGATTTCTTCAGAGAAAAAAAGTATAAATAATGAAAAGATTATTTTTCAGTTCAAATAGAGACAGGGATCTTGGTATGTTGTCTAGGCTGGTCTCCAACTCCCAGCCTCAAGCGATCCTCCTGCCACAGCCTCCCAAAGTACTGGGATTACAGGTGTGAGCCACCATGTTCGGCCTGAAAGGGTAATTTTTATAAAGAGTAGATGGCACAAGTTGGACAAAAAGCAGTTAATTTAAAGTTTAAATGGCAGGCCGGGCACAGTGGCTTATGTCACTGTGTAATCTCAAAGTGTAATTCCAGCATTTTGAGAGGCCGAGGTGGGTAGATATTTGAGACAGGCTGGCCAACATGGTGAAACCCCATTTCTACTAAAAATACAAAAATTAGCCAGGCATGGTGACACAAACCTGTAATCCCAGCTACTCAGGAGGCTGAGGCAGGAGAATCGCTTGAACCTGGGAGGCGGACGTTGCAGTGAGCCAAGATGGCACCACTGCACTCTGGCCTAGGCAACAGAGCGAGACTCCATCTCAAAAAAAAAAAAAAAAAAAAGAAGGAAAAGCCCACCTACCTGTGGATTCTTCAGCTTAGTGATAACTTTCCAAGCTTCGTTGAGAATCTGAAGTCGGTCACTCTCGGGAGGATCAGCCAAGGCCAAGTTTAACCCCAGTGATCGAAAAAGGAGATGCTAAGAAAAATGTCAAACTATCATGTTACGGAAATTTTAAATCAAAGTAACCTGAAGCTCAAAGAAAAGAAAAGGTTGTAATGTTTAATCCTTCTTGGGGCTTATCTTCCAACAACCTCCTTCTGAAATTCTACCACGTCTCTCCCAGCTACACAGAGAAGCTCACAACAGAGTTAGCTGCATCTATTGGTCTAAGCTGGGGACATAATACTCCACTGGACAATGTTTTTCATTAATAATGAATGAAGACATATTATTTTGTTTTGGGACAGGGTCTCACTCTGTCACCAGGCTTCTTGACATAATCACAGCTCACTGCAGCCTCGACCTCCTTGGCTCCAAGCGATTCTCCCACCTTAGCCTCTCAAGTAGCTGGGACTACAGGTATGCACCACCACACCCAGCTAATTTTTGATTTTTTGTAGAGATGAAGTCTTGCTTTGTTGCCTTGGCTGGTCTCCAACTCCTGGCCTCCCAAGTGCTGGGATTATAAACATGAATGGCCGTGCCCAGCCTGATACTGTCTTACACATGTTAGACCAAAGTCTTTCTTAAATCCTTCAGAGTGAGTTAATTTGCTAGCTTTAGGGCTCATGGGGGCCTGAAGCATAGCAATCCCATGGTGTCTGACAATCCCAATCTCTAACTCATCTTCCACTGCATTCCTCAGAAACAGAGCCTTTGCCTATGTTCCTGCAGGCCTACATTGTTTCCAATACTGGGCTGTCTTCAAGAGCTACTGGATACACACCACTTACTTGTGTCCTTCTAAGCACAAAGTCAAGAGCCTACCTTGGGGAAACCAGATTCATCACACTCTTTAATCATGCCAATGAAATCCATAGACCTTGTGGCGATGAACTCAGCCCGGAAAGCCGACATCACGGAATTCAACAGCAAAGCACTGCAAGACACAGATCCCCAAGTCAGCCTAGCTTCTCCTCAATGAAAGTTGCCTTAATTTTTGGATATATATTGCCAGGAAGATGAGTAATAGCTCTTCAGTGGTAGGGTTGGGGGAGAAAAAAAAAAAAGACTAGAGTAAAAAGGTAAACTGTGGAGACTGACACAGTGTGCTGTACATATGTGCAACTCAGTAAGTGCTGAATTCACTGGATGTTTAGATGGGTAGATGATAGATGGCAGGGTGGACAGACATATAGATCAGCAAGTGAACCAGTTCATTTAAGAAGAAGAGTCAGCAGGTAGGGAGGTATAACATGGGGAGAAATGCCAGATATAGGTGACGGAGGGATGGAGGCAGCAAACCACCTTGCTATGTAAGTACCTATGCAACAACCCTGCATGATCTGCACAAGTACCCGAGAACCTAAAGTTACCATTAAAAAAAGGAAAAGAAGAGCAAGCCTTCAATAAGCTGGTACACTAATAAGACTAAACATTAAGTAACAATACTGAACCATGTTGTAAATACATATCCACATCGTTTACGCAGGAGTTTTTTTTTGGAGACAGAGTCTCACTTTGTTGCCCAGAGTAGAGGACAGTGTCATGATCTTAGCTCACTGCAGCCTCCACCTCCCAGGTTCAAGTGATTCTCCTGCCTCAGTCTCCTGAGTAGCTGAGATTGCAGGCACATGCTAACATGCCTGGCTAATTTTTGTATTTTTAGTAGAGATGGGGTTTCACCATGTTGGCTAGGCTAGTCTCAAACTCCTGACCTCAGGTGATCCACCTACCTCAGTCTCCCACTCCCAAAGTGCTGGGATTACAGGCATGAGCCATCACATCTGGCCAGTTTATACAACAGATTTCTTAGGAAAGAGACCTTAAGTTATAGGCACCAGGCACTGGGGACACAGTGGTGAACAAAGACTGAAAGGCTGTTTACACCTATCTACCACTGAAAGGAAAGCAGAGAGACAACCTCATATTCATGACAGTTAGGGAGATCAACTTCATTCTAGCCCAACCACCTACCTGAGCCCCATGGGGAAATAACCATTATTGTTATTATTTTTCTTTTTTTTTTTTTTTTTTTTTGAGACGGAGTCTCACTCTATCGCCCATGCTGGAGTGCAGTGTCACGATCTCGGCTCACTGCAATCTCTGACTCCCAGGTTCAAAGGATTCTCCTGTCTCAGTCTCCTGAGTACAGGTGTATTCCACCACACTCAGCTAATTTTTGTATTTTTAGTAGAGATGGGCTTTTGCCATGTTGGCTAGGCTGGTCTCGAACTCCTGAACTCGGGTGATCTACATGCCTCAGCCTCCCAAAGTGCTGGGATTATAGGCATAAGCCACCACGCTCGGTTAGAAAGAACTATTATTATACCTGTTTTACAGATGAGGAGACAGAGGCACAGAGAGGTCAAGTAAGTGGCCCAAGATTACAAGGCTAAGACAGAACAGAGCCAAGGTCTGAGACCAGGCAACTGGACTCTAGCATTCTAAACCTCCATGCGATCCTGCTTCTCTCTCTTCAGCTCACACCCAGGAAAGCAGGCCAAGCTCAAAAACAGCAGCCAATGCCATTTTCAAACTCATGCTTTTGAATCTGAAAATACTTACTTGTTTCCTAGTTTCTTACACCTTTCCATCATCTCGGTCAGCAGAGCCTATTATGTTAAAAATAATAATTAAAAATCAGGTTGGAGGAGCTAAAGTAACATTTCTAAGAGATTTCCAAAGTCACAATCTAAAATGAACGTAGCTGCATGTCCATTAAGATAATTCTCAGTGTCTGACAGGAATGGGGAGGCTGGGGGAGGAAAAAATTCACTTTCATGGCATTTAGTGTAATAAATAGAAGCTGGGGGCCAGGCATGGTGGCTCGAACCTGTAATTTCAGCATTTTGGAAGGCTGAGGTGGGTAGATCACTTGAGGTCAAAAGTTCGAAACTAGTCTGGCCAATATGGTGAAACCCCGTCTCTACTAAAAACACAAAAATTAGCCAGGTGTGGTGGTGGGTGCCTGTGATCTCAGCTACTCAGAGGGCTGAGGCAGGAGAATCGCTTGAACCCAGGAGGTAGAGGCTGCTAGGAGCCGATATCGTGCCACTGCACTCCAGCCTGGGCGACAGAAGGAGACCCTGTCTCAGTCAGTCAATCAATCAATCAACAGAAGCTGGGGCCCTGGCATAAGACACACTTGGATTCAAATCCAGTCTCACCAACTACCAACGGTGAGACGTAAGGAGAACTGTCGACTCTGCTGGACCTGGGTCTCCCTGTCCTTATTGGAAGGCTACAACAAGTGGTACCATAGCATCTGCCAGGTCACTAAGGATGATGGGAGATAACTCCCGCCTGCCACGGCCCGAGTGAGAATGACAATTACTTTGCTCCCCACCTCTTCTCTAATCCCACATTCTTCCCCATTTCAGGATGCTGTTAGTAATATGAGCAACAGATACTGGGCCAGAGCTTAAAGCCCACCGGCCACAGTGAGAACCACTTTGCCCTCACGATCTTACCTCTCCCAACCAACCGTGAAGCAGGGGCCCTATTCTCCCACTTCACAGATGAAAAACGAAGCCACGAATAGCAACATCTTTCACCCAAGGTCGCAGAGTTAGTGATGCAGCCAGACATGAACCTGGGCAGGCTGGGATCAAAGGCCATGTTCTTTGACACATTTCTTCTCCAACAAGTTTGAAGCCTATTTTTTTCCACCCAGAGGAAGTAGATTTTTTTTTCCTCAATTTATTGGAATACTGTTAATGGCTTTGGAGCTATCTTAAGACAATTACGTATCTTTAAAAGAGCTCTTGTTTTGAAGAAAATCAATGAAAGAAGGATCATTTAGGGCAGCGGTTCGCAGAAGGTCAAACCTAGGACCAGAGGTAATTACAGGACACTGAGCACTGCCCAGGTTTTGGGCTAAGTCCTTTACTTCCCTTTACTCCCTTACTCTTCACCATGTCCTTGTGAGACCCATGGAACATTATCCCCATTTTACAGATGAAAAAGCCAAAGCTCAGAGAGGTTAAACCAATTCCTAATAAGTGGTAGAAATGGAACTTGTGCAGGCCGGGGGTAGTGGCTCATGCCTGCAATCCCAGGACTTTGGGAGGCTGGGGTGGGGGGATCTCTTGAGCCCAGGAATTCAACACCAGCCTGGCCAATATAGTGCAATCCCATCTCTACATAAATTTTTTAAAATTATTTTTATTTTTAGACATAGAGTCTTGCTCTGTAGTCCAGGCTGGAGTGCAGTGACAATCTCAGCTCACTGCAATCTCCACCTCCCAGGTTCAAGCAATTAACCTGCCTCAGCCTCCTGAGTAGCTGGAACTACAGGCATGTGCCATCACACCTGGCTAATTTTTTTTTTTGTATTTTTAATAGAGACGGGGTTTCACCATGTTGGCCAGGTTGGTCGTGAACTCTTGACCTCAGATAACCTGCCCTCCTCGGCCTCCCAAAGTGCTGAGATTACAGGTGTGAGCCACAGTGCCAGGTCTTTTTTTTTTTTTTTTTGAGACAAAGTCTTGCTCTGTTGCCCAGGCTGGAGTGCAGTGGCACAAACATGGCTCACTGCAACCTCCACCTCCTGGGTTCAAGTAATTTTCCTGCCTTAGCCCCCCCAAGTAGTGGGGCTATTACAGGCATGCCACCACACCCGGATAATCTTTGCATTTTTAATAGCGATGCGGTTTCACCATGTTGGCCACGCTGGTCTTAAACTCCTGACCTCAGATGTTTTGCCCGCCTCAGCCTCCCAAAGTGCTGGGATTAGAGGCATGAGCCACCATGCCCAGCCATAAAGCTTTTTAAAAAAAATAGCTGGGTGTGGTGGTATGTGTCTGTGATCCCAGCTACTCAAGAGGCTGAGGTAGGAGGATCACTTGAGCCCAGGAGGTCAAGGCTGCAGTGAGCTATGATTATGCCACTGCAGTTCAGCCTGAGTACCAATGGTAGGTATGGTGGCTCACGCCTGTAATCCCAGCATTTTGGGAGGCTGATAGGGACAAATGGCTCGAGCTCCAGACCAGCCTGGGCAACATAGCGAAACCCCATCTCTAAAAAAATTTTTAAAGCTTCTAGTCTGTGGTATTTTGTTGTGGAAGCCCAAGCAGACTAATACAGGTCCAAACCAATCATAGTGGGTCTCATTCCCCTTGCCCAGGCGTCCCCAAACTTTTTACACAGGGGGACAGTTCACTGTCCCTCAGACCGTTGGAGGGCTGCCACATACTGTGCTCCTCTCACTGACCACCAATGAAAGAGGTGCCCCTTTCTGAAGTGTGGCGGGGGGCTGGATAAATGTCCTCAGGGGGCCACATTCAGCCCATGGGCCATAGTTTTGGGGACGCCTGCCCTTGCCTATGACCCATTTCTAGCTGCTGAGACAGGATGGGAAGTCTCTGGGGGATCTGGAGAAAGGTTTCCTGTTCTTAACAAGGACCCAAGAATCAAAGATTCCCCGGATGCTGTCACCTCTGGATGTTGATGCCTGGAATGGCTGTACCCAGCCTGCTAATAATCAGGGACAGCAGAGCATAAAGATGGACAGAAGCTGCCCACCCTAGAGCCTGCACTTGTTGTGTAGGAGGACACGTGGAATTAAACGTGGAGGCCAGACTAGTTAGGTGTTTGTTCCTTGCAGCCAAAAGCATCCTAGTTGGAGACACAACTGACTACATCATAAATGGCTTCCCTAACCCACTTTTGGGTATTTACATTTAAAAAGTCATTCTTAAAAGACCAATAGCAAAGTGGCCTTCAGAAAAGGCTAAGAAAGGAAAAGAGAAATTCTGTGTAATCATCACACTGATACTCCCGGACACACAGAAATAATCATTCAACGCCTACCTAATGAGCAACTTTCGTATACAGTTGACACTTGAATAACATGGTTTTGAGCTGCATGGGTCCACTTACACGGATTTTTTTCAACCATATGCAGATTGAAACTACAGTATTTGTGAGATACCAAACTCAAGTATACATGGATTCCACAGGGCCGACTGCAGAAACTTGAGTATGCATGCATATTGATATATGTGGAGGCTAGGCACAGTGGCTCACACTTGTAATCCCAGCAGTCTGGGAGACCAAGGTGGGTGGATCACCTGAGGTCAGGATTTCGAGACCAGCCTGGCCAACATGATGAGACCCCATCACTACTATACAAAAATTAGGCAGACATGGTGGTTTGCCTGTAGTCTCAGCTATTCGGGAGGCTGAAGCAGGAGAACTGCTTGAACCCAGGAGGCAGAGACTACAGTTAGCGGAGATCAGGCCACTGCACTTAAGCCTGGGTGACAGAGCAAGGCTCTGTCTCAAAAAAAAAGAAAAAAGATTATATGCATGGAGATCCCAGAATCAATCCCCCGAGTATACCAAGGGATGACTATACCGGCCCCTGTTCCAGACACTGAGGATAAGATCGGGAGGAAAACAGACAGAAACACATGCCTTCGTGAGGTTTACCCTATCTCATATATGTGCACGTGCACACACACGCACACAAACACATACACGTGAACGAGATCTCCTGTCCTCCCAATTCTGGAAAGATTAACTAGGGTAAATCCCAACATATGGACAGAAGATTCTTACCAAGACAAGATAAATACTTAAAAAGTTCCCTCTATCACAAAAGATGAATGCACTAAAAATGCATCCAAGAATATAACTTTAAAAAACCAAAGGCTCTGTGGTCATAAAGGAATTTAGGAATACATGTAAGTGTCCAGAGAGCCAATGTTATGGATCCCTACGCAGGGCTGCTGGAGGTTACTGATTTTTCTCCCCTCTGAGAAGTAACAGAATTGATTATCTTTGGCAAGAACATGATGAACAATAGCTCAAAGCAGACTGAGATCGAAACAAGCCTTTTGGCTGGACTCAACCACTGAAATACTAGCAGCTCAGCATATTTCTTTCACTTTCACACACACCAGAACTTGAAGATTCACAGGCAGGCATTTGCTTGGTGTGCTGACTTTTGTTATTGTTGTTGTTGGCCCTGTATGCCGCTTATTTATGTAACATTTCATTGCTTTTCTAAACATTGTAAAAATAGGAAATGCTTTATAGACAAACGTTCCAACAACACTGACATTTATCAAGAAAGATGAGAAAAGCCCCCTCCCAATCTCCATGTCCTAGAAATCGCCAGTGTCAACACTTTGGTGTTTATCTAGAACTTTGATGTTCTTATCTAGAACCCCGCCTACGCCTTATGGACATATGTTATTACAGAAGTCTAGTTTTGTTTTTACACAATGGAATTTCTACACAATGGGATACTTTTATCAATATTGGGGTGGAGAATATTTAAATAGAGAATCTAGATGGCCCTCTCTTCTCCATGTTATTACACAAATCTACCTCACTCTTTATAATGGCTGAGGAAGCCATGCCATGGATATAACATCATTTTTCAAACTGCCCCTGACAGATGCTTTTGTTTTCTGTTTAATTTTTAATAATTTATTTTTATTTATATATTTATTCTTTTTTTGAGACAGAGTCTTGCTCTGTTGCCCAGGCTGGAGTGCCATGGTACAACCTTGGCTCACTGCAACCTCCACCTTCCAGGTTCAAATAATCCTCCTGCCTTAGCCTCCTAAGTAGCTGCAATTACAGGCACATGCCACCACACTCGGCTAATTTTTGTATTTTTAGTAGCCAGGGATTCCCCATGTTGGCCAGGCTGGTTTCCAACTCCTGACCTCAAGTGATGTGCCCGCCTTGACCTCCCAAAGTGCTGGGATTACAGACATGTGCCACCACACCTGGCCTAATTTTTATTTTTTGTGAGTACATAGTAAATGTATATATTTATGGGAAAATGAGATGTTTTGATACAGGCATGCAATACAAAATGACATCATGGAGAATGGAGTATTCATCCCAATGGAAGGATTTTTAAGACTTTTTATTTTGAATTAGTTATGGACTCATCAGTAATTAAAAAAAAAAAAAAAGTAGACAGAAGTCCTGGGTACCCACCACCCAGCTTCTCCCACTTACATAACTATAATACATTATTAAAGCTAGGAAATTGACACTGGTATAATACAACTAACTAGACAATTTCACCAGGTTTTACATGCATCCTTTTTGGGGAGAAGAAGAATATGTCTTTGTGTCTAATTCAGTGACATTTAGCCATATTTAACTGTTGGATTTTTTTAAGGTGATCTCCAGATTAGGTTATTTATATTATTTACCCACTTTGAACATACAGGAAGAGAGAGAGTAAGTCAGGTCAAGGCTGCATGTGTGATTTAAACTTTCTATGGTGCCTTGTTATGGCAGCCTGAATGGACTAAGACATACCTTGATTTTTTTTTTTTTACCTCAGATTTCAATTTTGATTTGAAATTCTGTAGATCAGGTATTCACAACTAAAGGTATTTCTCCTTTCCCTCTCTCACCCACCTGCCCTGTATATTACCAACTGCTGCAGCTGAACTTTACCATCCCCTATTTTGAAGTCCTCTAAGGGATACACACAGCTCTACTCTGCAGGTGACTCAGCGGCCACTATGAAAGAGCTTTTAGGCATCAAACTGTCACATGCACCCTTTTTTTTTGGGGGGGAGGGGACTGAGTTTCGCTCTTGTTAGCCAGGCTGGAGTGCAATGGCGCGATCTCAGCTCACCACAACCTCTGCCTCATGGGTTCAAGCAATTCTCCTGCCTCAGCCTCCTGAGTGGCTGGGACTACAGGTGTGTGCCACCATGCCCAGCTAATTTTTGTATTTTTAGTAGAGACGGGGTTTCACCATGTTGACCAGGATGGTCTCGATCTCTTGACTTCATGATCCATCCGCCTCGGCCTCCCAAAGTGCTGGGACTATAGAGATGAGCCACCGCGCCTGCCCCATATGCACCTTTACCACCACCTTCCATACCAACATCAATTCTTCTGCAGTTTGAAAATGATTATTATTTTTTTTAACAAGACACTGCATGTCCCTTATTTAAATGCACCCAAGTATCAGAGTTTATCATTATTCAGGTGACCTAATCTTTTAAGCACTTATTCTAGTGCAATAATGATTTCCTAGAGCTTACTCCCAGGAAAGCTCTATTCCCAGCTTCTGCCATCCTTTGAGGTGACTGGGGCTTAAAATAAAAAGAAGACTGCCTTGTGACATGTACCTTTTGTTTTTAATCTGATTTTGCTTTTTGCTAAAATAAGAAGAAAAAATAAGCGTTCTCATTTCACTACGTCAGTCCTGCTTGTATGTTTCCGTCATTCAGTGGAATAGCAAGGAAACAGTCAATTTCACGGTACCTTTCCCAGAAGTGAGGACAGCATGTAGTTGCTGAAACTATGCTGAGGATCACAGAGAACCGGCAGCAAAATTTCAATCTTCCCTTTATACTGGCTTGATTAAAATCAATTTACTTAACGGAATAGTCTTACCAGACCATTCACCTGAAGTACAAGATGTCCCTGTTTTTCTCCTAATTTAGAATCTCAGAAAGTAAAAATGAAAGCAGTACATACTTGTGGGAAAGTTAGAAAACAGAGATGGGTGGCTGGGTGTGCTGGCTTGTGTCTGTGAAATCACCCAGCACTCTGGGAGGCCAAGGCGGGCAGATCACTTGAGGCCAGGAGTTCAAGATCAGCATGAGATCAACATGGTGAAATTGCGTCTCTACTAAAAATACAAAAATTAGCTGGGTGTGGCGGTGCATGCCTGTAGTCCCAGTTACTCAGGAGGCTGACGTATGAGAATTATTTGAACCTGGGAGGCAAAGTTTGCAGCGAGCCGAGATTCCACCAGTGCACTCCAGACTGGGCGACAGAGCCAGACTGTGTCTCAAAAGAAAAAAGAAAAAAACAGATGGGCCAATAAAAATAAGTTACAACAGCTCCAAATCTCACACTCCAGTAACGCACTGTCATTTCTCCTTCCCAGCTCTCTCACACGGATATAAAAATCATGCCTGCGAGTACCAAGATGTATGAGGGGCTACACGAAGCACCACAGATACAGTGACTTCTTTGATCCTTGCAACAGACTAGAAAATAGGAATTATTAATATTGTTCCCATTTTACAGATGAAGAAAGAAGGCTCAGAGTGGTTAGGAATGTTATCTGCTCCGTACTCTATCACAACAGCTATAATGAAGCTGAGATACAGACCCAGGCACTGCAACTCCAGAGCCCACACCTGAATGCTAGGCCACACAGCCACTTACAACACACACAGCAATGTGTGTAACTATCTTTTTGCACGCAGCCATATACCACGAATACCCTTGCGCCCGTGTGTACAAGTCATCAGGAGTCTCTGTCATTATAAATGACCCCATGACATTCCACTGAATGCATATACCATAATTTAACCAGTCCTCTCTGATGCCTGCCTTCAATTTTGCATTACCATGAACAAACCATGTGTGCATCTGTGTGTGTTTATAATGTTTATGCACTTGCCTCCTTACAGAATAAATTCTTAAAAGAAGGATTGCTTGGTTAAAGTCATCTGTTGGTAACGTCTAGGAAAAGGCAGATGTCTTTCAACTTTGCTTTGCTCTATATATCCTTGTTTTGTAGTTAGTCTCTCTTTTCAGCTCTCAAAGAAACACAAGGAAAGCTTCATCTATCAGTCTTTTTTTTTTTTTGACTGTTCCCTTGCTATTCCACTGAATGATGGAAACATACAAGCAGAACTGACGTAGCGAAATGAGAACACTTACTCTTTTTTCTTCCTATTTTAGCAAAAGGCAAAATCAGATTAAAAACAATGGGTAGATGTCACAAGATAGTCTTCTTTTTATTTTGAGCCCCAGGCTCTGTCGCCCAGGCTGGAGTACAGTGGTGCGATCTTGGCTCACTGCAACTTCTGCCTCCCAGGTTCAAGCCATTCTCTGCCTTAGCCTCCTGAGTAGCTGGGTCTCTACATAAAATCAGCCTGGACAACATAGTGAAACGCTATCTCTACAAAAAAATACAAAAAATGGCCGGGCACGGTGGCTCATGCCTGTAATCCCAGCACTCTGGGAGGCTGAGGTGAGCAGATCATGAGGTCAGGAGATCAAGACAATCCTGGCCATGGTGAAACCGCGTCTCTATTAAAATACAAAAAATTAGCCCAGCATGGTGGCGTGCACCTGTGGTCCCAGCTCCCCGGGAGGCTGAGGCAGGGAAATCGCTTGAACCCAGAAGATGGAGGTTGCAGTGAGCCAAGATCACACCACTGCACTCTAGCCTGACGACAGAACAAGACTCCATCTCAAAATAAATAAATAAATAAATAAATAAGCCAAGAATGGTGACATATGCCTGTATATCCATGCTAGCCAGGCTGACTAGCATGCCATGAACTGCTGACCTCAAGCCATCTGCCCACTTCAGCCTCCCAAAAGTGCTGGGATTATAGGCATGGACCACAATGCCCAGCCTATCACAGTCTTCATGTTCTACAAAAATGGCTTCTCAGTCTTAGAAAAGAAAAAACATATGTCTGCTATGATTCTGATGTCACCTCAATTCCTGACAATACTTCAACTGGCAAAAAAGAAAAAAAAAACAGAAAATAATCTTAAGCATCTGAATTTTAGTTTCCTTCCGTAAAATACCTGCTCTACAGACTTTATTGATTATAAACACAAAAGGGGTATATGAAGGTAAGTGAAGAGGCAATAAGGCTTGTTGGCCACAGAGCCCAATTCTAAAGGTTAGTATCAAGTAACCAGCCACCTTCTTTTTTCTCTTTTTTAATGAGGCAGTGTCTTGCTCTGTCACTCAGGCTGGAGTGCAGTAGTACAACCACAGCTCACTGTAGCCTTGAATTCTGGGGCTCAAGTGGTCCTCCCATCTCAGACTCCTGAGGAGCTGGGACTATAGGTGTACATCACCATGTCTGGCTAATTTTTTGTATTTTTCTTTTTTGTAGAGATAGAGTTTCACTCTGTTGCCCAGGCTGGTCTCAAAATCCTAAAGTCAAGTGATCCTCCCATCTTAGCCTTGCAAAGTGCTGGGATTACAGACATGAGCCACCACACCCACCCACCAACTGCTTTCTAGTTGTGTGACCTCAGTTAGGTATACAGCCTCTCTGAGCCACCACACTCCCCTCCCACAGTTGTTAAAATGAGACAATTTCAGAAAAGCACTTAGCACAGAACCAGCCACTATGGCAAGCCTTCTACAAAGGCTGGTTAGTGCTGACATTGCTGAGCTGTTATGTAAGGGTCCTATTTACATTAAAGGGCACAGTGTGCAGGGGCTGTCACCAGACAGGAGGTGAGCATCACAATGAAGCCACCTGGCAGTTACCTCGGGGGCATGGTAGGAGATACACTGGAAGATCCAGTCCATGGCAGGCGGGTACAAGGGGAGGTATGATGGGAGCTCCACTCCTTGGACCACCAGCTGGTTCTGGACCGTATCCCCGTGAATCTATAGAAGACCAAACAAACACTTAGAAAAGGAGGGGGGAAAAATCAAACAACAAACAAAACACACACAGCTCACAGATCGTGCATACTTGTAAGCATGTGGATAGCCCTGAGAGAAATAGCCTGGTTTCTCCGTCTTTAAAAAAAAAAAAAAAAAAAACAGAAAAAAACATGCAGAAAGTTTCTCATATCACCAAGCTGAGCTGTTTTGGGAATAAGCACTGTGGAAAGCAGGACCCTGATAAAAATGGAGCCAGCAGATGCTAAGAAGCAAGGCTGATCGACTGGAGACGTTTCCTGTTAACACATGCATATTAACTTTCTCCGCTTCTTCAGTACAATCAACACATTTTAATTGTCTCCAACAGAAGCTACTGTAAGCTTTTCCAGGGCTTGCACATTTAAAGAGCTTAAAGGCATTCTCAACTTGGAAAACCAAATGGGTTTTGTGAATTTGCTATCATAGAACTGTTATACCTATTAGCTATTCTGACAGTGTTCTCTTACCTGTTTGAACGTAAGGAGGAAGTCAAAAAAGTTCTTATTTAGGCTTTCTTTGAGATGTGGGGCCACTTCCATTCCCACCTGCAGCCAGACAAAAGAAAAAAACTGGTTGCAAATAACTACAGTATGATTTTACTTTTGTAAATTAAAATATATGTACCTACGTTTATAGACATGGAAAGTCTAGAAAATTATTATTTTTTTGTCGCCAGGCTGGAGTGCAGTGGCAAGATCTCTGCTCACTGCAACCTCCGAAACCCTGGTTCAAGCGATTCTCCTGCCTCAGCATCCTGAAGAGCTGAGATTACAGGCACGTGCCACCATGCCTGGCTAATTTTTGTATTTTCAGTAGGGACAGAGTTTCACCATGTTGGCCAGGCTGATCTTGACTCCTGACCTCAGATAATCCACCCACCTCAGCCTCCCAAAGGGCTGGGATTACAGGCGTGAGCCACCACACTCAGTCTGTTTTCTTATTCAATAAGCATGTATTGCTTTTATAAGAAAGACCAGAGAAGCTATTTTTAATGAAAAAAGGGCAGCATTTACAGTACTCCTCTTTGCTATTCCCCAAAGGCACTGAATATATTTCTGAACAGATAACCAAGAGAACAAATCAATGCAGACCTAAAAAGGAATGTACTCTCAAGATTGTGTATAAAAAATAAATAAATAAATAAAAATCAAAAGATATGTACACATGTGGCTGCACTTACTAGATGAAGCACAAAGATTACAGTATGTGAGAGAGTTGGCTTGGATTTCAGATGTGGTGCTGCCCCCGTTACACAGTTAGTTAAAAGCTATACAAATTCATTATTTGCAAGGCAGCAATAAGAGCAGACACAATTTTAAAACATTTTATGCCATTTTATATAAGATGTGCATGAAGTTTAACAATGCTATAATCCAGTGGGTCCTGACTTCATTATTTCAAAAACAGACTATAACATTTCTAGCTGAAGAAATTTACTAATCATAGAGAAGGTGCCAGGCACTGGGGTTAGATGGAAAAGTGGTGGGATGAGCTATGGAGAGGGGTTTGTATGTTTAAAAACACATCATAGCGTTTCTTAAACTAAGCTCCTCAGAAACGCTTCAATTCCAAATTGCTGCTTAACCACAAAAACAGCTTCGTAGGCTGGGCTGTGGTAGCTCATACCTGTAATCGCAGCACTTTAGGAGGCCCAGGTAGGCAGATCACTTGAGGTTAGGAGTTTGAGACCAGCCTGGCCAACACGGTGAAACCCTGTATCTACTAAAAACACAAAAATGAGCCGGGCGTGGTGGCGATGCCTGTAGTCCCTCCCAGCAACTCGGGAGGTTGAGGTGGGGGGATCACTTGGACCTGGAAGGTAGAGGTTGCAGTGAGCCGAGATTGGACCACTGCACTCCAGCGTTGGCAACAGAGCAAGACTGGATTCCTGTTTCCTCAAATGGGGATAGATTTCTCCAGTTCACCTTCCACTACCCAGAGGTCATGTTGGGTAATAATAATAATGTTTTTTAGATGTCATTTGAAACCACCAGGGTGTGAGCATTCCAAGAGCAGCTCTATGGTTGTTGGGTACAGGAAGTACTGTTTCCAAGGACAAGCACATAGATTAAAAAAACACACACACACTAACAAAAAACATCAGATCCAGTTCTACCATGTTCTGATTCTCCTTCCACTTAATCATGTTGCAGAAAAGACAATAATTATCTGTAAGGTGACAGCAAAGGCCGGCCTGACCGAGCCATGGAGATGAGCAGAAGGGGCCATGACTTAGGAGTTAATTATACCTTCCTTTAATAAACAGCTTCAGGCTTCCCCAACACTCCACCCACTCAGAGCTTTTGTTTTCTGTTTTTCTCTTCTCATCAGGCCAAATGGGCAGCTTGGATATCTGCTTGGGTTTAAAAGCTTTCTACCCAGAGTGGCAAGGGTATTGCTCATGACTGCCATCTGCTGTTTCGGCCTGCCCAGCATTCATTCCCCTTGTTGCTGGTATCTGCAGATTAGATTTATCTCTGGAGAATCAAACCTTCCTCTCAGACCATAAGGTTTGTGGTAGAGCTGGATCCACTCCACCCCGAGTTCCAGGCAGGGACATGTGACCCAGGCCCAGTCAGTAAGCACACAGACCCCAACCCATGGCCACAGCAACTCGTCTAGGGGTGAACAAGCAACCTGAAGTGATCCCCCAGAATCAGCCCTGAGGCTCTGGCTAGATTTACTGGCGAGAAGACACACTTTCCCAAGGTGGTAGGATGGAAACCAGAGGCCACTATGGGGCCATCACATAAAAAAAAAAAAACAAGCCACAGAATGAAGCCAATTCAGAGGAAAGCAGAGCTGAGCGATGTGAGGAGAGGCTAATTCTTGACGGCACCCTTTGAGGCCCTGAATCCAGCCATGCCTGCAGTACCACTGGCCTCTCCAGACACTGGCCAGTAAGTTCCTGTTTTTGCTTAAAGTAGTATGAACTGGGTTTTTGCCACTTGCAACTGAAAGAATCCTTACTAATACACAGGCTGCCTCTTATTTTTTTTGTTTAAGGCAGTCTCGCTCTGTCACCTAGGGTAGAATGTAGTGGTGAGATCTTGGCTCACTGCAACCTCCGCCTCCTGGGTTCAAGCAATTCTCATGCCTCAGCCTCCAGAGTAGCTGGAACCACAGGTCCGTACCACGCCTGGCTAATTTTTGTATATTTTAGTAGAGACAGGTTTTTGCCATGTTGGCCAGGCTGGTCTTGAACTCCCGACCTCAAGTGATCTGCCCACCTTGGTCTCCCAAAGTGTTGGGATTACAGGCATGAGCCACTGCGCCCAGCCTCTCTTATTCTTTTTATGTTAAAAGACTAATAGAAACTATCCAACGAGGGGAATCGAGGCACTGCCTGGACTGATAAAAATGATTTCAACAGAAGCAGGGCACTTTACTACCGGTCTTGCTGAAATGGGTCTGCTTTGTCCTCTGCATCCTCTCATCATCAGTGTTTTCAAGTTGCATCTGCCATTCAAAGGCATTTTATATGTAACAAACACGATCGTCTACCCTAGCTCATGTACCTGACTTCAAACATTAAAAGGGAACCGGCATGCAAGAATGCATACTTCACCACTTTCTGATTTCTCTTTAATAACCAGAATCATCTGCATAACACATAGCATGATGCTAAGTCTTTATCAAGGGTCTCCGACATCAGGCCTTATTCAAACGCTTTCAAGATGTGTTCAAAGCATTTGCTGTGTTCTACAAGGCAAAAGGCAGCAGAGCAGAAATACACAAACAAAGCCAGGTGCAGTAGCTCACACCTGTAATCCCAGCAATTTGGGAGGCTGGGGAAGGTAAATCACCCGAGGTGAGGAATTCAAGACCAGCCTGGCCAACATGGTGAAATCCCATCTCTACTAAAAATACAAAAATTAGCTGGGCATGGTGGCAGGCACCTGTAATCCCAGCTACTTGGGAGGCTGAGACATAAGAATCACTTGAACCCAGGAGGCAGAGGTTGCAGTAAGCTGAGATCGAGCCACTGCACTCCAGCATGGTCAACAGAGCCAGACTCTGGCTCAAGAAAAAAAAAAAAAAAAAAAAAAGAATATGCAAACAGTATCTTTGTATCTCTCCCAGAGTATGTGGCATTGTGTTTTGTGCACGGTAGGGCCTCAGCAAACACTGAATTGGGAGTAGTAGTCAAGCTTTAATATATTCAAAAGTTGCCCTTGGACACACACCTGATGTCCCTGGATTAAAAATCCCCCCCGGGTTTCAAGCAGTAGGCGATGCATACACACTTTGGCCTCTGCTACGAAGAGGAAAAATGAAAGGCTTTTTCTTTCATTCTCAGTATCAAAAAACAGACCTATAAAAAGTGTCCTTCATAATGGGTATCAGCTCCTCACTCTGAGGGCACTGACTTAGTATTTCATGACACTTGAGACCACAGGGCTTCCGAAATTTACTGGCTGTCACACAGAAGAAGCAAATCACAGGCTACACGTTCTCGCCTTCTGATTTAATAAGGTGCAAACTCATGGGGGAGGTTCTAAGTGCAGCTTTGTCCTCAAGGAAGTCCGGGGCTTACCAGGGGCAATGATCCCTCTCTAAGGATGCGCAATATTCATGGGACGATGGCGAAGATTATCACTACTAGGGAAGTCCTGACAGAGGCAAAGTACCTGAGTGAGTTGAAGAAAACTATGGAGAGACCATATACTGGCTGGACGCAGTGGCTCATGCCTGTAATCCCAGCACTTTGGGAGGCTGAGGTGGACAGATCACTTAAGGTCAGGAGTGCAAGATTAGCCTGGCCAACATGGTGAAACCCCATCTCTAATAAAAATACAAAAATTAGTCAGATGTGGTGGCATGCACGTATAATCCCAGCTGCTCAGGAGGCTGAGGCAGGAGCATCGCTTGAACCCAGGAGGTGGTGGAGGTTGCAGTGAGCTGAGATGGCACCACTACATTCCAGCCAGGGGGACACAGTGAGACTCTGTCTCAAAAAAAAAAAAAAAAAGACAGACAGACCATATACCCTTCATGTTTTTCAAAACAAAAAACTTAATAGCTTAATTGAAGCCTCATGGTGCTTTAAAGCAAGGCATGGGCAAACAATTTCTCATCAGTTCCCCCAGCCCCTTTAACAGCAGCCACCTGAGCCAGGCCACACAGACCCTGAGGCCTGCCATCATGGGGGACACTGCTCCCCTGCCAAGAGGAAAACTAATAAAGCAATCAAAGTCAAGACAAAGGAAGAGCATGTTTCAAGTCAATGAAAAAAAACCTGTCAGCCTAAAGGCCCTGGGAGCCTCCTTCCCAGGAAGAACTGCAAAACAATTAATTCTGAAAACCAGTTCATTTGTAAGACGATGACCTTAAACATCCCCTAATTAGAGCTATGATAAGTTGGTCTACTTTAAAATTAATTTTTAAAACAAACCCTATAGTTCTACTTTCTGTGGCAGAGCCACAATCTAAAATTAGCAGCTAATAAAGGCCTTCTCTCAATGACTTGCGGGGTGGTGGAGAGCCCCGTGTAAACATTCAAGGAGACAGGCGGGAGGGAGCCCTGCTGTCAAGGGCAGCGACTCGCATGGCCTACCCGGCACAGGTAGGCACGGGCATACACGGACACCAGCGGGTCTCCGATCCCTCTGATCATGCATGTCAACCGAGGCAGACACTCTGAAATTCCCCTGCAAGAGACAAAAAGAGGCCAGCATTATACATGACGTGAGAACTCACTGTTCTTTTATTTTAAAATAAAGATAAAATGAAAATTTCCTAAATTTGGGGGTGGGGGGAAGAAAAATCAAGTTTCAGTAACAAACCAAGGTCAGAGTTTCAGTTTTCTAAGGCAATGTAACAACAGTCTTTCTCTTCTGATGCAATTCATTCACTGAATGATTTCTTTCATCTTTATCATTTGCTCAGTGCTGGAGGCTAACCACATTTTTTCCCCACTCAAGGTCACATTTATCTCACTAATTTTAACAGTTTTTGTCTCCAATTATTTTCCATCGACTGGGCAGCCCTTGATCTTCTCTCCCCATCTATTTCATTTGCCACAGATACACTGTCGTGTATCCTGTCCCTTCCTTGAATCTCAGGCTGGCATCTGGCATCCCCACCACCACCAATATGAATTACGATTTATTTCTCCTGCAACATGTCTTCCCTCTGCCTAAGGCATTATCCTCCTCCAACTGGTGAGGCAAAATAACTGTTTCTTCAGCATCCGTGTTATCCCCCAAATGACTCCAGGCATCCCTAGATCCAAATCCAACACATTTGAGATAAATTCTAAATCCAATCAGAAGAGCTATCTGTGGAGCACCATCAAATCAGTCACTCCCTGGCTTCAAGGAATTTATTATCTAGCTATCTAACATGACTCAGCAATTCACCTGCCCTGCAGAAGGCAGATCTAGGTCCCCCATGTCTTGTAACTACTCTCAAACCATTGCAATAAATTAGAGTAGCATGAGCCTAAGCCACTAATGGCAAAGGCTTCTGATTCTGATGTCATCAATTTTATCATCATCATCAACACTGATCACAGGCCCACCATGTGCCAGGTGTGACTCTCATTGTTGCAAGTGTGACTCAAAGGATCCCCTGAGACCTCTTCTTAGGGCCATGTTCCCAGGAGAGGGAGCCTGAGGTTCTGAGGCTCTAAATAATTTGCTCAAGATCATACATCTAGTATTGGTAAAGCCAAGATTCAAATCCAGTTGAGCTGATCTTCCAGGACCAACTCAATCAACTTCTTCAGGTTTGAGCTTTCTTCTCCCTAATATGGGCATGAAGATGGTTCCTCTACTTCACTAAGTTTCATTTGGATTCAATGAGAAAATGCACAGAAGGTGCTTAACATACTCTAAGTACCCAGTGAATAATGGCTACTATTACATTGCCATTACTGTGTGGTGTACACATAAGAGATTTTCAGAAATGTTATGGTTCTAGATATTACAGAAGAACCTTACGTTTTGGAGAGGAATTTGTTACATTTCAGGATGGATGCTTCCACGTAACTACAAAAACATCCTGTTAAGGAAGACATTTTCCAGAAGGTCTATTCTCTATGGAGAAAAGACTAAATAATCCATGAACAGAAGTAGGCAGGTCTTAGGAGATGGGGACCACAATGGACCTCAACAATCCAGAGAACCAAGGCAACTTACGGTTTCTACATATGGTTTCCAGAGTTTCATACGTATTCAAAATAAATTGCGGAAAATGTTACATGTTGACTCATAGTTGCATGATGAAATATAAACTGGGTTTTGAGTATTTCTAATCAAGGCTCTATGGGGAAAGAATGAACTTAAGATAACTAAGATGCAACTTATGTGTAAGTCGAATTCTCTGTTCTTCAATATTGGCATTTGCCTTGCAAAGCTTCACCCTGTTCTTTCAAGTTCTTGGAATCAGAGAAAACACAAATATGAAGCATTTTAATTGAGAGAATTAATGTGGGAATGTTCCTCAAGGAAACAAAAGCCTGACACATGGCATCATATTCAAAGTAAAAGACAATACACAGAACACACTGGCTCATGCCTGTAACCCCAGCACTTTGGGAGGCCCAGGTGGGTGGATCATGAGGTCAGGAGTTCGAGACCAGCCTGACCAACACGGAGAAACCCTGTCTCTACTAAATATACAAAATTAGCTGGCGTGGTGGTGCATGCCTGTAATCCCAGCTACTTGAGAGACTGAGGCAGGAGGATCACTTGAACCCAGGAGGCGGAGGATGTAGTGAGCTGAGATCGCCCCATTGCACTCCAGCCTGAGCAACAAGAGCAAAACCTTATCTCAGGAAAAAAAGAAAGTAAAAGAAAACTGTTTGGAGAGAGCAAGAGTCCAAGGGCTTCTACAATGTGGCTTGCCCTGTATTTTCAGGTTGGAACTGTAACAGGACCAAATTTTCAATGAGAATGTCAGGATATCCCATCACATGGCTTCTATTAACAGTACAACTCTTTGGCCTATCTTCAAAATCATCGGACAAAAAAAAAAAGGATACAATCTCGGAATGAGTTCCCTGATGGAAGCAATCTTGAAAAACCAATTTAGGCATGTTTCCTTGGCCGTGTCATTTGCATTCTCTGGAGAAAAGTGATCTGTAATACAAAAACAAGACTTGTCAGCCCTCCTAAATCTCAGGATCTTTTATAGCCGCTATGAGTCGCAGGATGGGAACACATTATTGTGGAGCAGAAAAGGGTGTGGGGTACTCAGCCTGTGTGTTTCCTTCCTAATATCATTATTAGGAAGCAACTGATGGTAACAAGAGTTTACACAAACATGGGCTTTCTAAGTGCCAAGTGCTGTTCACAGTGCAGTGCTTTACAGACAGCTCACCTGATCCCACATAGCAACCCTCTGAGGTATGTACTTTTATTATCTTTTATAGATGCAGAGACCAAGGCACAGAGGAATGTAGTGACTCACTCAAGGCACATAGCAAGCAAATCTAAGAGCTGGAATTCAACCCAGGCAGTCTGGCCCTGCAGCCTACATCATTAGCCACTGCCTCTAATATAATCCAGAGGTTCTTGGTTACCCACCAATAACTAAGACAACATTGCTGAGAATTCCAGATGCCTCAGGGGCCTGAGACTGCAAAATGAAACGTGACCTAAGCTTTCGCTCTACACATCACTTGGGTCAGAGGAAGGTAAAGCAAGGCCCCTGAGGTGAGAAATCAGCCAGAATTATGTTGCCAGCTCAAGACTGGCTCCAAGACACGTCACCTTGTGGTGAAACTGGCAGTTTACTCCATTAGCTATTCTCTTCCTCTTTAATCAAAGAACCTGCAGTTTTTCTGCAGGGCACAGGGCCATCCCTGCAGCTAAGTGTGGTCCTGTGGGTCAAGTTTTAGTCCCAGGATATATAATAGAAGGGTAACTTCTGAGAAGTATCTTTAAGGGAAGGGGCCTGCCTTCCCTCACTCCTCCTTCCTGCACACTGACTGGAATGTAGACATGACAGCTGGAACCTCTGCAGCCATACTGAATCATGAGAATGAGACACAAGTGAGGACCCTTGGTACCAGGGGCTAGCTGCCCATCAGTCCCGACCCTCATTACTGTGATTTCGAGTTTTCTGGAACTCATACCCAACCCTGATTTTGACATACATATTTTTAAACAGCAGAAATTTATTTCTCACAGTTCTGGACTTGACATAATCTTAAGGAATGAAAGAGAATATGAAGAAATGAAAGAAAAAACAAAACAAAACATCAACATCATGAAGGTCACTGTTTAGCTCTCCTATGGAAATGATTTCTTCTAAATAATTTTGGCAAAGATCCCACCACTGGGTGTTTTATACTTTTAGATTAATTCAAAAAGACAGAAGCTGGCCAGGCACAGTGGTTCACACCTGTAGTTTCAGCTACTTGGAAGGCTGAGGTGGGAGAATCAATTGAGCCCAGGAGTTTGAGGTTGCAGTGAGCTATGATCGAGCCACTGCACTCCAGCCTCGGCAGAGTGGGGCAGAGTGAGAGAGTAAGACAGAGCAAGACCTTGTCTCAAAAAAATAAATGAATAAATAAAAGGTACAAGTTAATTACTTTAGAATATAGCAAATGATTCTTAGCTTGTTGGCTCTCATCCTGTTTTGCAATGAGTCATTTTCATCCCTGATTCTGTCACTTGTTGGTATCTTACAGTGATCAAAATTCCTATAGAATCAGCAAAAAAGACAAACTTCTAGGTACTTCTCTAGCAGAGAATAGTCACAAATCACAACTGCAGATATTTTGAAACTGTAATCTCCTCAATCTATTTTTGGATGTCTGGCATGCTTCGTTCACTTGAGAACTATTTGCTTACCATTTTCAAAAGAATGGGATATGACCATTTTCCCCTTTCTGGCCTGAATCTGTACATAAGAAGTAACTTTTCCTACTTTCAAGAGATCCAGACAGAAAAAGATAGCAGTTATTCTTAAATTCATTTTCAATCTTCTCTTTGGGGAAAGGGAGGAGCAGTGTTAATTTCCCTTCCTATGACTGAATTTTGTGGCTTAAAATCCAAAAGCAAAAATAGGTCTCTGAGATCATCTACAAAATCTCTCACTCTATAGCTGAAGGAACAGAGGTTCAGCAAAGGCTAAAACAAACAGTGGTTCAGGCTGCCTGAAAGAGTTGGAAATCAGGCTAAAGGCGGGTTGCCCTGCATACACACACTGACTGCAAGCTATACGACCACCTGCATACACCAAAACAGAATCTTTAGGCTTTCCTTCCAGCTCAAGAGATAATTTAGGAAAATGATTATGTTATGCAGGACTTTAAGCTCTTATAGCAAACTAAGTATTATATTCCTCTACTTCATGTGCCCAACACAGATGCTTTAAGGCCCAACTAAAGGTGATGTTCTAGGCTTTGGGGAGGTAACAGTGCACACGGTAGATCCTATCTACAGGAAACTGACATTCCAGTCGGGGGAGACAAATGATAAACAGGAAAAAAAAATAAGCAAGCAAACGAGTAAGATAACATCTAACAGTAGCCAGTACTATTAAACATACTAAACGAGGTACTGGAAGAAAGAGTGACTTGAGTGAGATTTAGGGGAGGGGGCTCATTAGATGGAGTGGTCAGAGAAGGCTCCCACAGAAGCGGCCTCTGAGCTGAGCCCTGAATCAGGAAAGGGAGCCAGCCACGCCTAGATGTGGGAGAGATGTCTTTCAGGGAGAGAAAACAGCAAGCGCAAGGCCCTGTGGTAGGCATAACCTCACTATGGCCAAAGAACAGAAAGCAAGCTAATTTGCTGAGGAGAATGGGGTGTGGCCAGCATCAGAAGCCAGTTTATGCAGGGGTGAAGCCTTGGTAAGGAGTTTGAGAGTTTGTCTAAACATAACAGAAACCCCCTGAAGGGTTCTGAGCACAGAACTGGCATGACATGACACAGTTTATACTTTAGCACCTGGGTTGCTATGTGGGGAATCCTTCAAAATCTGGAAATTAATTCAGAAGACACTTAAATATAACCAAGAACAGAGGTTTTCTTTCTAGCACCCACTTATTTTTCTTTTACGGTGCTGCTTTTTTTCAAACCTGAACTTCTGTGGATATTTTAAGAAGAGGCAGGAGACCAATGAGTCTAGTTCTTTCATTTACTTGCCAAGTCTCTACCCTAGCAGCAAGAGGTCTCTTTACATAACAGTGTTATAGGGATTGGCACCATCTTAGTTAGCATGTGCTGGAAAGGCCAGGTCAGTTAAGGCCACTGTTTATCCTGATGTGGCCCACAACAGCCACAGGGCAAGACTGAAGATGGGAATGCCAAAAAGATGATATGGGAACCATAATACAATAAACCCAAATTATTCCTCCCAAACTGGAAATAAAATGATTTGACGTCAGAGTCCCTGGCCTCTTTACACATATGCTGGATTAAGAACTGTCGAAAGAAAATGACCGCATCTAGTAGTGTGTGCTTTTCATGCACCCAAAAGATACTGTGTCTGTCTCAACTCAGAAGAGCTATACCTTAGTTAAAACTCCTGAAGGCAAAGGACTCAAGTATGAAATTCACCCCAAGGGCTCAAGTATTAAATTCACCCAACAGAACTTGATTCAAATGGAAAGAATGAGTACAGATGCCACCGAATTTCTCTTCACACATAATCTCTTCCGGCAGAATCCTGCACAGTAGATTTCCAAAGCTTTCATGATAATTATACTTAAGAGTCATTCCTTAGATCACCAACAGCTTCGAAAAAGATAATCTACTGCTCTTTTCAGGTTCTTGGAACTGGAGTGAACACAAACAGACGAAGATTTACAAACAATGATATCATTTAAAGAAAAAAAAACAACAAATGATTTTCTTTGCTCAAGGTCAAAAATAGTTATTTAGAAAGGAAAGAATTTTGGTGATAAAAGTGTTATAATTAACATATCTAAACAAGGACTGGCCTGTTGTTTTGAACTTTTAAGTTTAGGCAGGGAGTTAGTTATTAGTAATTTTTCCTTAATTGGCCCTAAAGTGTTGTTTGTATAGTCACTGAAGACTGGGAGAAGGAAGATTATATTGCAGTAGAGACAAACTCAAATGCCTCTGGGGGCCAGGCAGATAAATAAGAAAATTTTAAAGAGGTTGGGTATACAACAATAGGAAGAATTACAGCCTGTATCAAAAATGTTTTCTTTTTAATGATGTTGTTGCCAAAAAACAAAAACAAACAAACAAAAAAACCTGTTTTGGTTCAATCTCACCTGTTGGCTCAAGTTTACTGCCGATAATATAGCATGTTACATGCTGACAAGTGTGAATTAATTGAATGGATTTGGTTGGGTGTGGTGGCTCAAGCCTATACTCCCAGCACTTTGGGAGGCCAAGGTGGACAGATCACCTGAGGTCAGAAGTTCAAGACCATCCTGGCCAATGTGGTGAAACCCCATCTCCACTAAAATTACAAAAATTAGCAGGGTACAGTGGTGTGTGCCTCTAATCCCAACTACTCAGGAGGCTGAGGCAGAAGAATCACTTAAATCCGGCCAGTGGAGGTTGCAGTGAGCCAAGATCGTGCCACCGCACTCCAGCCTGGGCAACAGAGTGAGACTCCAACTCAAGAAAAAACATAATAATAATTTTTTAAAAAATGGATTCAGATTTCTCAAATCCTCAAGCTGGCAGAGAAGGACTTTCCTTTCCACTTGGGCTGGCCTCTTCCTGCCTTTACCAGATCACTGCCTCCAACCCTGAGATGCCCAGAACATGGGAGGAACTGCTGAAAAAAACATCATCACAGGTGTGACACAGTGGCATGGAGGGTCCCAAAGAAAAACCACATAAGCCACATTAAAAAGGTAAAATAAAACTGGTTAAATTAATTTTAATCATGTACTTTAACCCGATTCATCCAGAATACCATTTCAACATGTAATCAACATAAACACTATTAGTGAGCCACTTTACCATCTTTTACTTGTACCAAGTCTTTGAAATCCAATGTCTTTTTTAATACGGCGCATCTCAATTTGGACTGGCCATATCTCAGGTGCTCAAGAGCCACATGTGGCTGGTGGCTGCTGTATTGATCAATGCAGGTGCAGCACTAAGAGCAAGGTTCTCACTAGCTGGTGGCAGGGCCCTGGGCAAGACTCTTCAATACTGGGTCTGCCCGTCTATGATAAAACAAGATGGGCCGGGCGCAGTGGCTGAAGCCTGTAATCCCAGCACTTTGGGAGGCCGAGGTGGGTGGATCACAAGGTCGAGAGATCGAGACCAACCTGGTCAACATGGTGAAACCCCGTCTCTACTAAAAATACAAAAAATTAGCTGGGCATGGTGGCGTGTGCCTGTAATCCCAGCTACTCAGGAGGCTGAGGCAGGAGAATTGCCTGAACCCAGGAGGCGGAGGTTGCGGTGAGCCGAGATCGCGCCATTGCACTCCAGCCTGGGTAACAAGAGCGAAACTCCGTTTCAAAAAAAACAAAAAAACAAGATGGCTAGGCCGGGTGCGGTGGCTCACGCCTGTAATCCTAGCACTTTGGGAGGCCGAGGTGGGTGCATTGGCTGAGGTGGATCAGGAGTTCAAGACCAGCCTGGCCATCATGGTGAAACCCCATCTTAAAAAAAAAAAAAAAAAGATGGCTCCTAAAAGCATTTTGAGAACTAAAGGCCTGTAGAGTTCTTTTTCTTTCTGACAAACACACACACTAAACAGTATTAAAAAGACAGATAGGGAGGCCAAGCATAGTGGCTCATCCCTATAATCCTAGCACTTTGGGAGGCTGAGGTGGGAGTATCGCTTAAGCCCAGGAGTTTGAGAGCAGCTTAGGCAACATAGGCAGACCCCATGTCTACAAAGATGAAAAAGTAATCCCAGCATTTTGGGAGGCTGAGGCAGGCGAGTCACGAGGTCAAAAGATCAAGACCATCCTGGCCAACATGGTGAAATCTTGTCTCGACTAAAAATTCAAAAAGTAGCCAGGCGTGGTGGTGCACACCTGTAGCCTCAGTTACTCGGAAGGCTGAGGCAGGAGAATTGCTTGAACCCAGGAGGCAGAGGTTGCAGTGAGCCAAGATTGTGCCATTGCACTCCAGCCTGGTGACAGAGCGAGACTCCGTCTCAAAAAAAAAAAAAAAAAAAAAAAAGGGCTAGGCATGGTGGCTCATACCTATATTCTCTGTACTTTGAGAGGCCAAGGCAGACAAATTACTTGAAGTCAGGAGTTTGAGACCAGCCTGGTTAACATGGTAAAACCCTCATCTTTACTAAAAATACAAAAATTAGCAGGGCATGGTGGTAGGTGCCCATAGTCCCAGCTACTAAGGAGGCCGAGGTTTGAATCTGGCAGGCAGAGGTCGCAATGAGCAGAGATCACACCACTGAACTCCAGCCTGGGTGACAGAGCAAGACTCTGTCTCAAAAATAAAAACCCATCAAGATAGACCAATTGACAGATGGACTGGTAAGAAGCAGAGGGAAAGGGAAAAGGAGAGGGAGAGGAGGAGGCAGAGGAAAAGAAAAAGGAAAGAGAAGGGGAGGGAGGGAGGAATAAAGGAAGGAAGAAAGAAGGAAGAACATAGGTCATGTTATAGGTTACTGCCACAATCACCTTCTATTCACCTAGGAAGTCCCATTACAGGAGGAGAGGGACATGGAGCCGCAATGGAGCAAGCTGGTTGCTCTAGCTTGGACAGATGAGAACATTTCCTCATAGCAGTGCTTGGAGGTTAAGAAGATAAAGGGAAAGGATGCTGCGGCTGAGAGTCCTGCACTGCCAGACACATCATTCTTAAAATTTATATGACAGAAGAAACTCATCATCCACTTGTCCCATTATAACCTCGCAGGAATTTAAAATGGATTGACCGTCAATTTAATGAAAAATCACTTGGGTATAGATTGTGAATTCAAAGCATCAATTACTATTGATCTATTTGACATTGTTCATTAATACACATAAAGTTGTTTTTTTTTTCCCCAAGCAGTTTGCTTCTTAGGAGAGAAAGATACATAGGAAAAATATTAAAGTCAAGCAGCAGAGGGAAGTAAGTTGGTGTGAAAGTTCAACTGAATCTAAGTGTAATGCCTTTTCATTCTTGCAGATTCAAATTACTTGCCTGGGTTCCCAGACAGGTCATTTAGAAACCTTCTAATGTTTTTAGAAGACTGAGATGACTAGAAATCTTCAAAGGTGTTTCTTTTACTTTAACACACCCAAAATTAAAAACTTGATCAAGCCTCAACGAATCCCAACTCAATAAAAAGCTTTCTAGTCCTGACTCCAGGGCAGAATGACACTCCAGGAACAGCGGTGACATTACCTGGTAAGACACTGCGGTTATCCACACACATGGAGAAGATGCGCTCGTACACAAGCTTTCCTGGGAGGAAAAGGACAGATGGTGTTAGTATCGTACTCTTTAGGAGCAAACACTAAATAAATGTTTGTTAATAGGGACCCAGAAGTATCATCACCCAGACAGGCTTTAACTCGTGATGGTATGCTGCCACCTGGTGGGACATATTTTAAGCCATGTTTCTTTTGCTTTTGTTTTTAGTTTTTCAAGTAGATTTTTACTTTCTTTGAAAGACAGGAAAGTGATGGTTTTGCCCTTTGTTGTCTAATCGAGCCTCAGGTATCTCCAATACCCAGACTATGGGCCACATTCTATGCTAGGCCAGAGGTGAAAATGGGCAGCCCGTGGGCCGAGTCCAGCCTGTGACCAGTTGTGTGTGGCCACACCACAACAGCCCACAAAGTGTTGTAACATTTTTTGAATTGGTTACCAACAGGCAAAAACTGGGAGAGGCCAGGCATAGTGAGTCACACCTGTGATCCTACCACTTTGGGAGGCTGCTGAGGCAGGAGGACTGCTTGAGCCCAGGAATTCAAGAGCAGCCTAGGCAGCACTGTGAGACCAGGTATGTACAAAAAAATTAGCTAGTAACAGCAGCGTACATCTGTAGTTTCAGCTACTTGGGAGGCTGAGGTGGGAGGATTGCTTGAGCCCAGGAGTTCAAGGCTGCAGTAAGCCATGATTGCCCACTGCCCTCCAACCTGGGTGAGACAGCAAGACCCTGTCTCAAAAAATAAAACAAACTCTGTAACCTGGGAGAACCCACATGCGTATTTCCTCCTTCACATAAAATATGCCAAAACTGTGGCCGTTATCTCTATAGGTAACAACACAGCTAGAGCAAATTATTAGCTGTCCCACCCAGTTTGCCGCAGTCTCCAGCACCCCCCACCGTCTCTCATCATCAGCGTGCTTTTACTCTTTTATGTGACATCCTGGTGCCCAGAACCACCAGAATTTGAGATTCAACTAGAATGCAAGCTCCACAAGGGCAGAGATTTGTGCTTGTTTTGTTCACTGACATATTCTCAGTACTGATCAGTTCCTGGCACACAGTGGGTACTCAGTATTTTTTGGATAGATGAACATACTAGAGGTTTTGCAGGTCATAGGTCACTTTCTTGGTGACTCATCTTGGCCACTGTAGCACAAAAGTGGCCACAGACAATGTGCAAACACATGGACGTGGCTGTGTTCGGGTAAAACTCTCTTTACACAAACAGGTGCACAGCCTAAACTCCTGAACTGGTAGCATAAGCTTTGTTTATTCTGTGCCTGTGTTTTGGGAAATGTTATCAATATGTCAGGTAAAAACTATAGTTCTTACTCATTTTCTAAGCTCTCCTAAGTCACCTTCAATGTGAAAATATTTCCACGTTTTTCATAACCCCATTATTCAGGGTAGTAAAGAACAACACTCCTTGTCCATACATGGAAACAGAGACAGGCAAATACAAGGATCATTTCAGGTTGAAGAATGTGAAATCAAATGATATCAAGAGAAGACACAATGTTAGGATTAAGTGATGGACGCCAGCCAAGTGAAGAGGTACCACCCAGGTGCTTCTCCTGGTGTGGACCACCTACCTACATACCTACCTACCCACATTCATTCATTCATTTAGACAGGCTCTCACTCTGTCACCAGGCTGCAACGCAGTGGCATGATCAGAGCTCACTATAGCCTCCACCTCCTGGGCTCAAGCAATCCCATCTCAGCCTCCTATGTAGCTGGGACCACAGGCATGTGCTAGCATGCTTGGCCAATTATTTTTTTTGTAGAGATGGGAGTTCCCTGTATTTCCAGCCCAGGCTTGTTTTGAACTCCTGGGCTCAAGTGATTTGCTTGCCTTAGCCTCCCAAAGTGCTGGAATTATAAGTGTGGGCCACCATGCCTGGCCTTGGACCAGCTACATTAAAATTGCCTGAAGGCACTTGCTGAAAATGCAGATTTCCACCTTATAGCTACTGGAAAAGAATACTTTATCGTCAGGCATGGTAGTGCACACCTGTAGTCCCAGCTACCTGAGAGGCAGAGATAGAAGCTATGATTGTGGGCTGGGTGTGGTGGCTCATGCCTATAATACCAGCATTTTGGGAGGCCAAGGCAGGTGTATCATGAGGTCAAGAGATCAAGACCATCCTGGCCAATATGGGTGAAATTCCATCTCTATTAAAAATACAAACATTAGCTGGGGGTGGTGGCGTGCACCTGTAGTCCCAGCTGCTCAGGAGGCTGAGGCAGGAGAATCACCCGGGAGGCGGGGGTTGCAGTGAGCTGAGACGGTGTCACTGCACTCCAGCCTGGCTACAGAGCAACAGAGCAAGACTCCGTTAAAAAAAAAAAAAAAGAAAAAAAAAGAAAAAGCTATGATTGTACCAATGCACCCCAGCCAGCCCGGGGCAACAGAGTAAAACCCTGCCTCTTAAAAAAAAAAAAAAAGAAAGCAAAAAGAAAAAGAAGAAGTTTGGAGAATGAGGACTAGGAATACGGATTTTGAATAACCTGCGAGGAATTCCTTATACACATTAAAGTGTGAGAACCACTAATTTAGGCAGACACCAGTGGGTCTTTGAGCTAAAACCTGCCTTGCCTCTGGAATTTACAGAAACAGCAACAAGCCTCCCTCCTTCTTCCCTCTGAGCCAGTGCTTCTCAAACTGGGCTGCAGACTCCAAGCACCTGCGACTCTTGAAAATATGTGGACGTTTGTGTCCATCCGCAGAGGTCCTCATATGAATGGTCTGGATGCAGCTAGGACCTTGCGGGTGTTTGTAAAGCTCCCCAGGTGATTTTGATGTGTAGCCAAGTATGAGAAGCACTGCTCCAAACCACTGGTTCCATTTAGAAGCCCCTGGAAGGCCTCAAAAGAACAAGCCCCAGTTCTCAAAGCAACCTGCCTTTTTCCTCCTGGCAGAATGTGCTTTCCTTACCAGGGGCTATGAGTTCCCTACAGCAGCCACACCTCATGCAGGGAGAGGCCTTCCCTGTAATAACCCCAGAACGCTGGCATTAGGGATGCAGGCAGTGTTACCGCGGACCACCACACAGCAAACCACATTGGGCAGCTGCGTAACTGCTCACCTCCCATGGTGCACAGAATGAATCTAGCACAAAACACCTTTATTTCCTACACAAAAGTTGTCATCCCTCTAAAAACTGTTTTTTAAAAAAATTGTATTTCATCTTCATTTTCTTTTTTACTTTATTTTTTTTTAGAGACAGAGTTTTGCTCTGTCACCCAGGCTGGGGTGCAGTGGTGCAATCACAGCTCACTGCAGCCTCAAATTCCTGGGCTCAGGGGATCCTCCCACCTCTACCTCCCGAGTAGCTGGGACCACAGGTGCACACCACCATGCCTGGCTAACTTTAAAATTTTTTGTAGAGATGAGGTCTCATCATGTTGCTCAGGCTGGTCTCAAACTCCTGGGTTCAAGCAATCCTTTTGCCCTGCCTTCCCATAGCACTGGGATTACAGATATGAGTCACTATATGGGGCCTCACTGTCCTATCTTAAGAAGCTTTTAACTACAAAATTATTTTTGACTGAATAAAAGCTACTTGTCTATTGTTAAGCTAGTAGACAACTATTCTGAGAAATAACACTTGATCCTAGATTTATTTCCTATCTTGATTTGCTTTCTTATTAATCAGATACTAAAATAAATAACAACAGTGGTAACAGCTAGCATTTTCTGAGCACTTACTTTGTCTAAGCACTACTCAAAGTTGTTTACTCTAATCCTGCCAGCAAGCTCTTACAAGAGGAGAGGCATTACACTTCCTATGAATCCTCTCATTTAATCCTCTCCAGACTCTTGGAGGCAGGGTCTATGATAGCCCCATTCTACAGGTGGAGAAACTGAGGCTTAAGTTCACACAACCCTGAAAGAAACGGAGCAGGAATTGAAGCCAGAAGCTCACCTCTGTGCCCAATGCCTCTAGTGAAATCCCAGCTGAAGCCAGGCACACATCTTTACACTGTACATACCAGTCTCTGGATGCTGGGGCCCTAGCTTGCATCCCTGGCACAACAAGATGCTCTGACCCTCTTGTCAACGATGTCAACAACCACGAAACATCTGTCCCTGTACTGTCATGCATCTTATTTTAGAGCAGAGTAATGACCATGTGCAGACAAATGGAGCTCAGGACTCCACATTTCCATCAAGCAAGACAGGGTTTCACTCCTTTTTTACAAAGTGAATGCTCATTAGCCCCAAACCTTAACAAAGAGTCTTTGAGCGCCTGTCCATGCAGGGAGCCTGCACAGCCCTGAGGAATATTATTCACAATAAAACAACAGCACCCTGGGAACACCATTCTGAAGTGGAGAGGAAGGACGAGGACTTTCAAAAGTGCTGAAAGCAGCTACTTTGTGTGAATGTTTGGTTTTGAATAGGTAAAACATTCCCATGGGTCAAAATTCAAAAATAAAAATGGCTGCAGAGGTTAGCGAGTGCAGTTTCTCTTCTGGCCCATCCCGTCCACCTCACTGCCCTGCGCACCCTCTGAGAAAAACCACTTCTATAAGTTTCTTGGGTATCCTTCTAATCTCTCCTTAGAGAAACACAAGTGAATATGAACATGTATTCTGATTTTTACTTTTTTTTTCTTTTTGAGACAGGATCTCACTTTTGCTAGGGTGAAGTGGTATGATCACAGCTCACTGCAGTCTCAAACTTCTGACTCAAGGAATCTGCCTGCCTCAGTCTCCTGAGTAGCTGGGACTATAGGCTCGTACCACCACATCCAGCTATTTTTCTAATTTTTTTGTAGTGATGGGGTCTTGCTATGTTGCCCAGGATGATCTTGAACTCCTGGCCTCAAGTGATGCTCCTGCCTCACCCTCCTTCCAAAGCACTGGGATTACAGGATTACAGGTGTGAGCCACCATGCCTGGCCCTTTCCTTTCCTTCTTTTTTCTTTTTTCTTTTTTTTTTTGAGACAGAGTCTTGCTTTATCATCCCAATTGGAGTGCAGTGGTTTGAACTTGGTTTACTGCAAACTTTGCCTCCCAGGTT